GCCGGGCTTTACACTTTATCGCCTGGCTGTTGCTTTTTCGCCATCGATTATGAAAGGATATAAGAAATTATGTAGAAATTCGTGTGCTTTGGAAATCATTAAGTTTGATTCGGAACCACCTCAATATTTACAAAACACACTTTATATTTTCCTTTAATACATATTTTTTTCATCAATTAAAATGAGAATAATCCATACAGGATGTGCAAAAATTTCAAAATCATGAGTTGAATAACGCTGACTCCGCCAGATTAAATGTTAGAGCCTAACACAAAGCGGAGCGGCGACGCACTGGCGCCTACAAACCTAACAGGGATACTTCACGCATTGCGCAACGCGTGAAGTATCCCTGTTAGGTTTGTAGACGCCAATGCGCGTTTCGCGCTGGCTACCCGCCTGCCGCGCCGCAGCGTGCCACGGCGCTTGAAGCAACTATTTCACACCAGAGGTATTGCACAGTATCATACGAAACTGAAGGCGCAATATATTAGGAATGACAGGCATCCATCAAAATTACGGAGCTTTCCTCGCAAAATAATTCAAGATACTACCGCTCAAAAAGAGTGCAGTAGTCCAAAAACTCACTAAGTGCTACCATCCGTAATTAGTAACGTTTAGCATACACTTTATCGCCTGGCTGTTGCTTAATCGCCATCAGCTATAAAAGGCTATAAGAAATCGTGTAGCCGGCTATAGAAGCTATTGGAAATCTTACAGCCGGCTGTAGGTCTATGGTATTTTGGAACACAGATTCTACTGCCAATTTTTACCAGGGTGACTTTTCCTCTCTTTTAAATTGTTATGCAATTTGAGCGCGACGTTGAAGTTGATACTATTGTATCGCGCGGCTTTTACTGCTCTGCCTTTCACGTTTGCTGAATAGCCGTGGCGAATGCTGCTTAGTAGCAAATGTCCCATACGCTAAATACGATTGCATCAAGTTTCATATCGTCTCGAGCATTTATAATTTTTTCCCATTTATTTTTCCCTCTCGTGCTCTCCTCAAAGTCATCAAAATTATGGATTGCTTTTTGCCGCAAGTCTTCCTTTTTTGCTCATAGAGGCTTCCTGTTTTTGTGGTCTTTGAAAGCAAGAAATCCTCTATTCTTTCTTTGACTTACTATTTAATTTTGTTACTTCATTTTTATGAAGGAAGAATCTTCGTTGACGGATCCTAAATTTTTAAATTCGACTTTACAGTAAAACGCAAGCAAAAACTAATTGTACCGCCCAAGTTTGACGAGTTATTGAGCGGCTTGGCAGACAAGAAGTGGAATAAGTGAAATTTTTGAAGAAAAATGAGATGTTTGTATAAATGATTTCAACCAAAACAAGTCTTAAAATATATATTCTGAAAAAAATTCAATACCAAACTGCAATTTTCAAGCATCTAAAAGTGAGTTTCAACTTTCCTTCCGCCGTTAGACCTAATGTAATTTTGAAACTTTAAACATGTATTTCTTGAAATACGTAGTGAAAACTGCACTTCTCCCTTTTGTCTTCCAAGCCCTTCAGTTCATCTCCAGATTATTATATTTATATTTGCGTGTCCGTCCGATCATCTTATTTCTTCTTTTCTCTTTTTCTTCTTCAAATTCTCCTATAATTTTTAACTTTTCAAGTCTTGACAACATCTTCGAAGTTCTCTCGTCTCTTTCACATGAGGAACTTCGAAGATCTGCGTGTATCTCCTCTTTAAAGTGACTATTTTTCTAACGTTTCTAAATGCTCTTTCGTTGTCAACCGTTTTTACATCTTTTTAATGTAAACTTTCGTTTGGTTTGTTGTTATTAGGAGGTTTACGGGTACAAGAAATCCCGCGTTCACCTTGTGATTTGCTGGATGGGTATAATTTTAACTGTGGGAACTCTTCGCTTGGTGTTTCACTGGTATCCCCATTGGTACCTTTACGCAACGCACCGGCGATGTTCCCTGGAGCAAGCCGACTCTGTCCTTCTAGTGGTAAGTTTTGTCATCAGTTCAGTCAAAAATGTTAATAAAAAAGGTAAAATTGGATTCAGTTTATCAGCAAGGAACCAATTTATTGGGTCAACAAAGAGGTTAGTTGCTTAAGAACTCAATAAGTATTACTATGCGGTCGATTCCTTATTCTGAAATTATTGATTCCATCAACAGGAAATCTGTGATGAAACTAAATGTGTGTCTTTGGTTCCTTCCTCTGAACTGATTTTGCTCTTTTTGCATTTAGAAGAGAGAAATTGTTCCAAATTAGAAACAAGCTCCTGCAGTTTATTGAATGTAAGATTTTGGAAAGAACTTCAGCAACAAACAGTCCGCTTGTTTTCCCAAAAACTCAGTTCCTTTATCAGATTTATCAATTAGGTCCTGGTTAACTATTTGGAATTCAAACTGTTATAAGCAGTAACACTCATTTTCAGCTAATGACGGTTGCGTCTGCTGATCCATTGGTCTCACTCAGTTAATTGAGAAAGTTTGATGAAAATCATTCCTTTTTCTGAAACGCAACACTGGAAAAAAACACATTGGATCTAGAGTCCAGACTCTTGAAAACACCGACAAGAAAAAATACTCTTGATTCGATCAGATTTAAGCTTAAATCAAAAGGAAATCCGAAAGGAAATCCACTCAAATTAAGAGGCTTGGTTCTTGGTTTAAGCAAAAATCCGATCGAATCGAGAGTATTTTTTCTTGTCGATGTTTTTAAGAGTCTGGACTCTAGATCCAATGTGTTTTTTTTTTTTTTTTTTTTTTTTTTTTTTTTTTTNTTTTTTTTTTTTTTTTTTTTTTTTTTTTTTTTTTTTTTTTTTTTTTTTTCAGTGAAGGTTACGAATGTCATTCGTTAGTCAATACTAGGCATAATCGATCGTCACATGCCGCTTGCGGGATGTGCTCGACGCATACTTCTAACATTGAACTGTTCCTAATTGTATGAATTAGAAAGGTTTTTTCCATCAGTTTATGATTTTCAGTCTACTTATCAGAAATATGGCTGTAGTTCTAATGATCTATAAAATCTAATTGGGTCCTTTTTATAAAATTTGCTTTCTGCTGTTGAATTGTCTCGAGATTTTACGTCTTGTCAGGTCGGAATTTGTGAGACGCTCCTCGAAACTTCCTTTAATAGAGATGTTGCATGTGTGAGGGATTTGCGATTTGACTGTTGGTTCTTATATAAAAGTTCGCGAGAAACACGATGGTGCCACTGGTTTTCTCTGAAATCAACTCCCAAGCTCAAAAAAAGCTCTCAAGTTGAGGCCAAAATGGAGGGGATATCCCACGCTATCATGAGAGTCCACCTTTACATCAAGACAAACTCTCCATGCAAAGATGGGAGCTAATACATTGACAGGGCTGCCACTTCATTTGGGGACTCCAAAACTGAAACACGGCAACCCTGCTAATGTATTTGCTCCCTATCTTTGTATGGAGAGTTCGTCTTGATGTAGAAGTGGACTCTCAGGATAGCATGGGATATCCCCTCCAATTTGGCTTCAACTTAAGAGCTTTTTTTTAGCTTCGGACTTAATTTCAGAGAAAACCAGTGGGACCATCGTGTTTCTCGCGAACTTTGACATCAGAATCAATAGTCAAATCGCAAATTCCTCACGCATGCAACATCTCCATTGTAAGCGAGCTAATAAAGCGTTAAAGTCACTTTCTTGCGGCTATGCGTGTGTTCCGATCTTCCAATTCCAATCACGCGCAAAATTTCGGTGATACCACTATTCGACCACGTGGGAGCCCGTGTTGCCTACACTAATACTTGAAGGCGAACTGACATGGCGTTAAAGTCTCCTTCTCTCGGCTAGTAAAAAACTGTTCTTCGTGAGTGCCCCGAGTAAGAGCCCAATTTTGAGTCGATGCCCCTATTTGACCACGGGGGAGCTCGTGTTGACTTTAACGGATATTGTGTGCGAACTGCGAATGCTTTACCTTTTTTTTAATTTTCTCTTATGGAAGATAAAAAGTGCACTCCCTTCATTTCTTTGTAAGTCTATAAACTAATTCTATCGTTGAATTTGTTTTTCGAACAGGAGCATCTTCACAAACGAGTAACAGAATACCACGTGGAAGATATAAAATGCTTAACTACCGACGTGCTCAGGTAAGAACTTTTCTTTTCTAACTCCGTCTCAATTTTTTCTCAACCGATTCTCGTTTCGAATTCGAAGATTTTTGTTCGCACCGCGATACACAAGAGCAAAATGTCTAAAATATTTCATCATGTGACGGCAGATCAGTGTAAGTTCTAAAACTGTGGAAGAATTATTTTAAAGAGACTGGGAGCAAGCAAACGCGTCCAAATTTTCGTTATATTTTTGATGGAATCATGAAGCGTATGAAAAATAAAATCGCTAAAAATTTAAAAAACTCAAACTTTAACTGAATTAATTGTCCGGACGATGTTTCGAAGGGTCCGCTGCCCTCTCTCTTCAGCGGCGATAGTGCGACTCTATTGTCATGAAGTACTATCCTCCATTATCATGAAGTGTATATTCAGTTTCCCGCGTATTTTAATTTGCGTCTTTTAACAGGGAGCACGATTAGAATGTGGCATTTACCTACTGGTTTAGAGTTCCCAAAATTAATATTTTTCCCGCAATAGCCACAATTTCAATGGACCACTACACAAGGTAGGTACGAATTCAAGCATTCTGATACATGTTTCTCAACCAAAATTTTACGTAGGATACGATTTGCGCAACGAAAATTACTGAAATCAACTCCTAACCAACATATTTAATGTCTCTTGACGCATGAATTCAAACCTCCCGCTCATGAAAACTCAATGGTCTACGTGAGTCAAATCGCACGCTAAAAATTACCATGACTCTTTCTGCGATGTAAAAATCTAGCAACCTCAATCTTGACGCTTTAGCTCAGCTGTAGCAACTTGTTTATAGTTTGAACAACACAGGGTGGGAAATGAACAGTGCTGGATTGAGGAGCCTGCCGAAACCGTTGTAGTACGCGATTGAACTCACGTAGAGTATTGAGTTTCGTGTGATCGGGCAATTCAAATTTTCCGTAACCAACGTAAAATAAAAACGTGAATATCTTGGACAGGAAATGATTTCGGTAATTTTTGATGCAAGAAGTGTGTTCTACGTGAAATTCTGGTTAAGAAACTTTTATTAGAATCCTTAAATTTGTACCTTGTCTAGTGGTCCATTCATGGCCGGATTCACCTACTTGCCGCCCATGGGCCGCCTGTATTTTGCCGCCCGCTTCTCATTCGTTTTGAAACTCGATAAAAACCATCAAATGAACGTGCCAGCGGGGGGGTGGTGCATAAGACGCCTTTTCTCGTGTTGAACACATTTTTTGGGAAAGCCCTGTCAGTAAACCTATCTCTGTATGGACAAGGCCTTCCATTCATAAGAAATGAACGAAAAAATTATGAAAGAACAAACATAAATGTGGATCAATGATTTTAACTTCCGCCGCCGCGCCGCGTGGACCGCACCGTGTTTGGCGCAATGCGTGAAGTATTCCGACAGTCTTGTAGGCGCTATGCGTTTCACGCCGACCGCTGCTGAACGTACTGTGTTTGGCGCTATGCGTGAAGTATTCACGCAGTCTTGTAGGCGCTATGCGTTTCACGCCGACCGTTGCTGACCGCATTGTGTTGGATGCAATGCGTGAAGTATTCGTGCATTCTTGTAGGCGCTAATATGTGTTACATGCCGATCGCCGCGCCGAGGGCTTCTCCTTTTCATCTCAAGACCTTGTTATCATTTCTCTCTAAGTCGCGCCGTTCCAGGCCAACTTGCGTGTTTGGTCTCTCTCTTAACGTGACTTATTGAAGATGCTGTCTCTTGTATCACCAAGAGACGACAAAATTAGAAATTAATATACTCTCAGGAAATGAGAGATTTTGTAGCCTTTTCTCGTTCGTAATTTTTTTTTCTAAATCCGATTTTTTTCTATACCTACACTTTAAAAAATTGCAAATTTTTGCCACCCCTTAGATTTGCCGCCATGGGCCGCGGCCCATGTGGCCACCCCCTTAATCCGGCCCTGGGTCCATTTCAATTATACATTATGTAATTTTTCTAGTATGTCCACCACGGCCCCAACTTTCTTCATTTGCTGTACCTTAATAATTTCACGAACTTTGATGGAGGAATGAAACCTCGCATTCGTTTCTCTCGGTTTCCTTTTATCATGTGTTGGGGGAAGGGTTGTCTTCTTCACCGCTGAATCGCCCATGAAAATGGTACTGTCGAGAAATCTCAACAGGGTACACATTTTTTCTCCGATTCTTCGCGAGGTTCCCGCCTTTCCCTCAGGTTTCCTAGCCGCCTGCACTCCTGTAGGAGATAATGGGCCCACATTTTGCGCCTCCAACATTACCGATCCAGGAAACTTGGTCTACCCTCGTGCCTGGACTTTTTCCGCTGAAGAATTTCGTTCGCTCTCACTGATTTTCATTTAAAGCCGTCTAAATTCCATCTAAGGGGATGCCAAGGACTTCAAACCATCGTTAGGCGATGATGGCACATCTTGCAAAATACCCATCTTATGTCGTTTGTTTTTCGAATCTTCTGTTTCCTTCCCACATCGGGACTGTTGAACGGGTGTGTGGGCGACATGTCGTCGCGTCGCATCGTCGCGCCCAGCGCCGTGGGCCCACCCTCCCCCCGACCTCCCTTCGTCGGAGTCATTTAAGCTCCGGTGGTGGTCCTGATCACCAAGCAACATTGTCGTGCTAAGGAAGAACGTTGTATGGGAACTCGAATGTTGCCAAATCTCATCCATTTTTGGGATAAGCTACGAATCTTTCCTTAAATTTTGCAGATGCTTCAAGTCAATTTGTGTAAAGGCGGCGCTTTGCTAAGGCAAAAAAGCACTCTATATTCCCGTTGGTGAAACTGTGAAGGCCTAAAATACGGGAACCAATCAGAAATGGATTCGCATCGTCTTTACTGTCAGTAAAAAGGGACTCAAGACCCTCCCATTCGCCTTTCTATTCTGCCTCCACTTTTTAACTCTAAGCGCCGCCATTGAAATTGCGAGTACAATTTTTCGAAAATGTTGAGAAAAAAACGTTTAAAAATGTTCCAGAAAATCGTACTTCTCCTATCGGTAATTTGGCAATCCCCGAATGCCCATTCAGTGCCCTTTTCATCTGGCTCAGCAGAACACGATGGCATGGCGCCGAGGTGGCTGTTGTCCGCATGACTCATTCACTCGTTTACCTACGTCCTCTGGATATCACTCAAATGCGTGTGTGGTCTCCTGTCCTCTCAGTCTAACAGTCACAGCTTGCAATAAACGCCTCCCCGTAAAACTGCCGTGATAGCGAAGAGTGCAATAAGTGCATACCGGGATGAACCTCGAGACACATAAACGCCTGTGCTAACCATGGCTCATACAGTAATGCGCTTACTGTCCTCTTCGCTATCACGGCAGAGAACGGACCGCGTGTCGCAAGACAACCAACTTTCTTCGAAGGGAAAAGTTTGCCCGTCGGAGTGGTCGTCGGAATTTCGAACTTCTCGGAATAAATGAAAGATAGTATTCTTAAAATTAGTAATTTCAATGAGCTACGGTATTTTTGTTTATGTTTATTACTTTCGATCGGGGAAACTGGATATTCTACGAATCCATCTTGACAATTTTCGTGTACCCAGTGTTATTTTGACACTGTATTTCTGTCTCGGGATTGCGAAAAGAGCTCAGTTGAACCGCTTGTTTTGAAAAAAGTCCGATTTCGGGGAAGACAAAATCCAAGTACTTAATAGAAAAAACTGAAATCAGCTGAAAATCGGTGAACAGAAAATATTTCTGGCGCATACGATTCTGTTTGTTCAGTTCCCAAAAAGAGCTCCGTCGTAAATAGTTTAAAACTTTCGGTCCTCAATATTACATTATGTATCCTCGTAAACCTTTAAGTCGGACTTTAATTTGACTCTTGAAAAATTATGTCTATCAACCATGAAGCAGACCCTGCTTTTCCTCAGGGTGATTTGGCCGCTTTTTGTTCAGTGGAGTTTTCCCCAAAAAACCCAAGGGTATCAAATGTCCATTTCTTCAAATCAGTAAATTTTATGGCATTGTTTGCGCAAGTTCCTTTTCATACGAAATTACTCAATCCTTCCACTGAACCATTGTCAATGTGTCTGCATTTGCTCTTTATTTATTTATTTATTTATTTATTTATTTCCTTCTCAAAAATACGGAAAAGTAATCACTCCTGCAGAAACCGCAAATATTGGGAATCAAAAATTCATTCACTCTCTCCTTTCCCCCTTTTCTATGTACCTCCTCTCTACGGAACTAATTTGTTTTTATTTATTAAGAAAATTTCTATGGTTCTTTTCCTCTCACTCGCAAGAACGACGGTAATGATTTCCCCCAAAATTGTGGCAGTATGGTTCCCTGCTACTATAAAGTAGGATGCGGTTGTGCTCCGACCGTCGCAAATTAACCGCTAATTAATCGCTGTAACACCACGATGCTAGCTGGCCCTGCGTTTACAATGTCAAAGTGCAACTATTACCGCATCGTGGATGTCCATGTTGCATACCCAAGAAATGAAGGCGCTCCGAGCGTCTTTTCTCAGAATCGCAGCTCAGTAATGTACTCCGCGACACTTTACCATGGTTATTTGTAGGGCCGGATCAGAGCTCAGAGGCTCGGGGTGCTGGCGGGCACAAGGGGCCCGCATATTCGCGGATTGCGTTCTTTCTAAATTGAAGGGAGTTTACGTTTCCCCAAAAATGAACGGTTTATTTTCCCCGGTCCCAGCTAGCCCACGCTGTCATTTTAGCCAAGGGCATTTAAAATATCATTACCTAGTCACTAAAGTCACCTTAATGTCACTAAAGTGTTTATTGTGTATCCTCACGTTAATAAATGAATTTAACAAACAAACAAACAAACAAACAAACAAACAAACAAAAGAAAAAGTTAAATGACTAAAATAGCACTCAAATTAGGGATGTCTCTCATAATGTGTCATTTCATAACATGAAAATTAACCACATGGGTGCCTAATGAATAGCCTCTATGAATAGAATGCGACGTTGCATTGAAATTAAGCCCTTTTGACTCTCTTCATTTGACAGCCGCTGTCTCTTTGTGCCTCCACAACAAAGAGAGCTTTTTCATGTCTCTTGAAACTCTAATGAATGTTTATCAATTTCAAATGGAAAACCGCGCATGTTACTGCGCAATGATAGCAAGGAGAGTCAGAGCTCCTTCATTCTTGTGTGTAAGCAATACGGACATCCATGAAGTGATAATTGTGTTTCTGTATCACTGTCGTGTGTCGCGGTCTTCGAAAGACAATATTTTATTTTATTTTCATCCTACTCAAATGGATTAAATTTAGCAATAAGGAACCATTATCTCTGGCTCTTCCATAAAAGCACCTCTCTGCATAGGGAAACCAACGCCATATATGTGGTTTCTATAATGAGCCAGAACTTATTGCAAAATGTGGTCCAAATGGACCGCAATGATCTTCTTACTTTTTTCAAACTAGGAGCCATCAACCTTTATAGCGAGAGGAAAAGTCAATAGGTATTAAGAAATGGTTATTCAGTGAAAATGGAATGGAAAGTAGGTATCACTGAAATTTTGAACGTTACCTCTACATCATAGCAAGTTTTGAGAAATAAAATTCTCGAAACTGAAAAATATGTTTTCAGTCGTGAAAAATCATGCGAATCGTCTGAAATCTCATGAGAGAATTCAAACTATCTGAGCACTGATATTCGAAATGTTCAAAATTTACGATTCTAAGATGAACTAATAGTATATGAACATCTAAATGTAGAAAATGTTTTATTCCACACAACTCTTTTGGATAGGGGTTTGATTTATACACTAGGTTTTTTCTCCATATAACCTCTATGGAAATTTTATCTTTTCAGAGAAACTGAAGGATGGTGCGATGATATGGAACCGGAGCGATCAGGATCATTGAGACTGAAGTTTCATTCTAGTGGAGGCGTTTTTAGAGGTATTGTCTGAATGATTTATATTTACCGTCCTCTTAAAATTTACCTCTAACCGTTGGTTTTTCCTAGATGCATGATTAAAATTAATTACAAGGCAAGAGGATTGCATTTAACAACAGATTTTCTTCAGAAAGATACCGCAGATGGTCACCAGGGGCTTGGGTAATAAGCGTGGGAGTTGCTGATAGGCTATTTGAAATTGGTTAAAAAAAAAAAAAAAAACTGGGACTGACTAATGAAATATTACCAATACTGCTTAATGATGCTAAGAATTTTTCCAAAAACATTTTTCAAAGCTAGTTTTCCTACTCACTGCTCTCAGCAAAATTTACCGTAATATTCAGGCACTTTTAATTGGAACTTCAATATTTTAATTTCTGTTTGAAAAGAGCTCATTCTATCATTGGATTTGTTTTTCCTCACACATTCTCATTTGCTTGCAGGAGAAGAATCCATTCGGTTGTTTGAATTAAAGAAACAGCGATACATCTGGGATCCAGAACACTCAGCATTTAATCGGTTGAGAGGGTTAGATTACAAAATGCCCATTCATTTGTTACTTCATCGAGAAGGGCTGTCTCCCATGGAGCGAATTTCAAGGTTTGTGACCTATGATAACTTTGATGAATTTCTAGCGATCGTTTGTGGGGTGTTAGATTAAATCTTCTTGTACAGAATTATCTTTAATAGATTTTAATATCAGATCGTTGAGATCAGGATATCGAATGGTCTGGAAAACCAGCACAACTTGCTTATTTTCAAGGTAAAGCCAGAAATATGCAAAACATTAAGTTTTTTTTCTTGGAAACTGTCAGTTGTGCAGAATTTTCCACAAAACTTGTCCAGAAAAATTTGTTTCATGTTAATTATGTAGAACAAAATTGACACGAAAAGATACTTAAACATTTTTGTTACTAGGAAGGAAAAGTATCGAAGCACTCTTGTTAAGCGCCAAAAAAGAAATGAATTTTTTCAAGAGTTCGTTAGTACTCAATAGATACTCAGCTGAAACTTGCTTCATCCAGCTGAGTATAATGAATGTTACATTTATATTTTAGTTTTTTAACCCTTGAATTCAATTTTTTTTATTTGAGAGAGGTTTGAAATTATCCTTAAATTCCATTCATATTTCCAGGAAAGGGCCTCAATAGTGGTTGCAGAGGGTTACCATTTGTTCTTTGTTTCTTTTAGAAGTTGAGAGAGAGAGTTAAGCATTGCAAACTTTAGGTACTTCTACAGAATTAAATGCTATCAGTGTACATATTTACTAAAGACTACTTTACTGCAATTTCTCTCGGTGCGGGGCTTAATCTAGGGAACTATAGAACAGTTAAATTGAAAGGTGCAAATATGAAATAGATGGTTGTTTTAAGTTTTTCATGGAAAGTATCATTTCTATTTAAATTTAAACTTTCTTAAAATTTTAAATTGATTTGAGGAATGAATGTTTTGTCTTGTCTCGCCCCTGATTAGTAAATATCTACCTCTGTAACGTGATAATTTGTTTCATGATTGATGATTTTATTTATTTTAGGAGAGCAGTATATGGGTTGAATGAGATCAAAATTCCCATAGCCAGTGTCAGCTCACTATTTATCCGAGAGGGTCTCACTCCTTTTTATATCTTCCAAATTTTCTCTCTCACTCTTTGGTTTCTTGATGAATATATCTTCTACGCTCTTACAATATTATCGTTATCACTGGCCGGTATTATCCAAGCAGTTTATCAGTCTCGCAAGGTATGTTACATTTTCTCTTCTTTAACCTCTATGTACAGTTTTTTTTAAAGTGACAAATCTTCTACGATTCCATTCCTTTCTGAAGGCATTTAATTACTTGTCTTTCAAAAGAATCAGTGTAAGATTATGCTGTAAGCAAGGAGATTTTTTTCAAACACCAGAAATAATTTGTGCAAGAAAATCTTCCTCCAATATTAGTTATTTATTTTTAAAAAAATGACAAATGTTAAAATGTAAATGTAGAAAGACGACAAGTTTTTGCTACCTATATTTAATGCAGATTGTGATTTGTTATAAACAGAAGTGATAGTCTTACCCCTTTGACTCCTTCGGACGAGAATTTTTGTCCTGGTGTAACGGCACTGAGACCCTACGGCGACAATAATTCTCGTCTTGGAACTTCAGAAATTTTCATTTTTGGTGTCACTTATTTAAAAAAAAAAAAAAAAAAAAAAAAAAAAAAAAAATTGGGTACTGGTAATTGTTTTTTGATGACTGATCTTCTCTTTTACATACTTAAGGATGAGACACAAAAATTTCAAGCTGTTTGGTTGAGGAATAAGCAAATGAAAGTAGAAGGAAACTACGAACAGTCATTTTTCCATGATTTTCCATTCTTTACCTAGGCTGCGGGAACACAGTGTGAAAATTTAACTCAAGAGCTAAAGGGTAAATGAAATGAGCAGCAAATCAGAGCACTCGGACTACATTTATAAATTTGTTTATTGTCTCCATTTTTTTTCAACTTTCGTGTTGGGCCCAAAAGCCTGATGTGAAATGCAATGTGATAATGTCAGGGTTTCGAGTGTTCTTTTCAACCTGGAAAGACAGGGGACTTACAGTGACTGGGAAAAGTCAGGAAATTTTCCAAAGGCACATGAGCTCAGCAACTTGAGTCAGTGCCATTTGAGGGATTGCAAACAACCTCTGAGTGCATTTAATATCCAAAGAAGGAGATTTCGTCCATAGTTTAGCAAAAGTCAGCACAACAAAAAGGAAAGAAAATCTAAATTAGGGTACCTATCAAAAGTCAGGGAAAATTGAAGGAATACAGAAATTTTGGAGTCCAAGCAAAGCAGAAAATGTCAGGGAATTAAACATGAAAAAATTATTGGAACCCTGTAATATGCTTTCAGTCAAGTTTTTACGCAGAGTAAATTAATCTAGAGCTTGAGCGAGAGCATGTTAGAGTAATTTGGATCTTTCTTAAATCTGACCGCAGGATCAAGAGGCATTGCGGAGTTCTATCGAAGCTCATGCTTTCACAGAAATATTTTACAATAACGAAAAGTTCAATTTGGCAGCAGAACTAGTGGTCCCAGGAGACATCATTGTTCTTCCAGCACAAGAATGCGTGCTCATGTGTGATGCTGTCCTCATCACAGGATCCTGTATCGTCAACGAAAGCACTTTAACTGGTAATCTTTCAATTTCTTCAATGATTTTTTTGTGACTCTAAGCCAATGTTATGTAGCTGCATCTTTTCTGATCTGAATTCATCTGAATGTTCGCATTATAATCCCATCACTGCAATGAATTTGCAATTTAAGGAGATCAGTTTCTTGTTTCAGGCATATTTTGTTAACATATTAATAATTGCTTCCTTGTGCCTTTCCTTACATCAAGAAAAAACAAATGGAAGAAGCGAGGTCAAAAAAATTACCAAAAAAAAAAAAAAAAAAAAAAAAAAAAACGCCGATGATATTCAAAAGAAGGGCCTTTGCACAAAAACAAGTGTTGACAATATCAAGCTCCTTTGATCGCAAAGGAAAAGATCCAACTAACAGAAGTTATCATGAGAAGTACTCGAATAGAGCGTGTCTGATTACGTTTTGTGAGAGAAGAATTTATTTTGATCCAATATATATTCAGTTCAAGTGTTGAAATATTTTTTGTTTCACCACATGTGTCAAAATCATGGAAAATCAGTCGTCATGAAGTTGCTTTTTCCTACAAATACGAGTAGTTTGGTGTAACTGACACATCTTAACTTTTCAAGATTGAACAGTCAATATAATAAATCTGCACTATCCCAAAAATTTTCCTCTGGAATCTGCATTTTCTATTGATGATATTGCACCTGTTATAAAATTACCCTCTCTCAATAGAACATTATGAGCTCATTCCATCAAGTTCCATGTATCCTCACGGTTCATCCAGGCTTTATTTTTCCCAGGTGAAAGTGTTCCTGTAACAAAAATGCCCTTGCCAGGCGACGATCGCGATATTTACTACAACGAAAAAGCACATGTGAAAAGTACACTATTCTGCGGCACAAAGATTTTGCAGACCCGTTACTATAGCAATGAGCCAGTTCTAGCAGTGTGTATACGGACTGGATTTTGCACGTCCAAAGGAGCAATTACCAGATCGGTACTTTATCCTCGTCCACTGGACTTCAAGTTTGAGCAAGATACCTACAAATTTGTCGGTTTTCTTGGTGTGATAGCCTTTCTGGGCTTCTCACACACCGTTTACACCAAGGTATCTATTTAGCATTTCATTATTCATTTTTGTTGGCCTTTGAATAGCATTGAACGTGTTACTGAAAAAAGGAGTGGCGAAAGGTGATCGCAGGATGTTTTGTCATTTCAACAATCAACTTTTCAACCCATGCAGATTACAGAACAATACAAGAGGAGCAGGAACCTCTTGACCATGTGACTGGCCCGGCCGTGTGCTGGTCGCGTGAAATTGGGAAAACCCTGCATAAACAGGAAAAACGAGGGAATCCTCATGAAAATGGGTCTAGATGGGCGAACCAAAGGCAAAATATGGTGTTCTTGTAGTGAAAAACTCCCATTTTTTGGGCTGAAAGGGTTTTCTCTAGTTTTCTAGGTGGAGAAATCATGAATTTTGGTTAAAAATTAGAGGAGACCATCTAAATTTAAGGGAAGGATTGGAACTTTCTGTACCCCTGGAATACATTCACTAAATTATAGAAAGATCTGCATAGTTATTTATTATTATTTCTCAAAGCGTATTTCACCAATTGTGTGAGAATGCATGTTTTATGTACATTTTAGGGACCAGAAGAAATTCTATAACTGTAATGGAGCTTAAATATTTTAATCAGCAGGGACCACTGAGAAATAAATGAAACATTTGTCTATTGATTTATATTTTAGTGATCTCTTTCAAACTCTATTTCATGAGTTATTATTTATTTCCAGCTGATGCAAGGAAAAGCTCTTTCTGAGACAGTAATAGATGCTTTAGACCTCATTACTATTGTAGTTCCCCCAGCGCTGCCAGCAGCCACAACTGCCGGAATTACTGCTGCGCAATCAAGGTTGAAAAGACGTGCGAGCGTTTATTGCACTGCTGCGAAAGCAATCAACGTAGCAGGTGCTATTGATTGTGTCTGTTTCGACAAGGTAAAATAATATTTCTCATACTCCAGCAGCCGTCAAGTTATTTTACTCCAACTTCCATTTTTTTCTTTAACTATTTTATTATGAATTAAGAATTTGTGGCAAGCCAGAGTACGAAAACTCTCAGCCTGTTGTCAATCATCTACATTTGCAATTTTGGACGAAAGAAAATGAAGAGCTTACGTTTCTTTTGACCGCATGTTCAAATTGTTTATCACTTAAAATCCCTATACTTTAAGAAATCAGAACATTTAATGATAATAATTACGATTTTTTAATAGAAAGCACATTTAAGAAAATCTGTGTAACGTTTAGTAAACTGTCATAAAACCGTCATTTGTGACTGTTCACAAGATTTAAAGGACATTAAAGCTGGAAGAATGATATAGCAGCGCTGAAATTGTTAGCACTGAATTTGATAATGACCCTATTTTTCCCTTACAACCACCAATTTTCCTCCAAAAACGGGCTTTTCTGAAGAATATTTATTTTTCCTGGAAATCGGCACCTGATGGAGACAAACTAAGGTCATTTTTGGATTCAGTAGATCAGTACACATGGGGCTCCATTTGATTTGCTGGGAAATTAGTGAGTTCAGGGAGAAGTGAGGTCATTCTTGGACTCAGTATTGAAAATGACAAAAGAATGAACCTTCATATTCCTAGCGTTTTTATAACACAATTTTTGTAAGTAATTACAAAACACACCTAACACCTAAGTAATTGAGATATTACATGTCTGCAAAGTTAGTTGGTTTAAAGGTATCAAAGATCTGAAAATATAATTTTAAGAAAAAAAGCTATCGAAAATTCAAGACAGCCAGTTACATATCTTAAAATTGTCATATATTTGCTTCTCAATCTCCTCAATGGACACAATGATGAAAAAACTGATTGTAAATTATTTGCTAGGATTACGATAATAATTGCATAAAAATAATTGTTGCTGCATGGCACCATAGCAGGAGTTTATCTATTCCCATTTATGCAATTGTTAAATACCTTTCCTTCTTTCCTCTGTTGTTAGACTGGTACATTAACGGAAGATGGCTTGGATATGTGGGGTGTGGTACCTGTGACAGATGTTCATTTTGACGAACCTGTTCATGACATTTCAACCCTTCCTATTCAATCTCATCTCATGGAAGGACTGGCATCTTGCCACTCTCTCACAACTATCGATGGCAATCTGACCGGCGATCCTCTGGATTTGAAGGTAATGAAGGGCGTCTCAGCTACTAGCCTCATCAATACATTCTTGCTGTCTTAATTTAAATATAAGTTTTGATTTTCATCAATCTTTTTTTGTTCCTTGTTTCTTTTCAATCTTATTCCTGCGGGTTGCTTTTAGGTTTCATATTCCTGGAAATTGTACTTAAGAAACCTCTTTATCCCCCCCTACAACATTCCTTTTAAGTATACATTTCCTTTTAATTAGTCCAGCTCAATTGGGTCATTGATTATTTCAAACATCTGTCATGCAGCCTTTGTAATGTTGCTTATCATGTCATAATTTAATGATTCCTCATTCCTGTTTAGGTTTTTGAAAGCACAGGATGGACCTTAAAAGAACCTGAACTCAGTGACAAAAATAAATTTGATTCTCTCGTGCCAACTGCTGTGAGGCCGCCTCTAGAGGTGAGTCAAAATTGTATTCTTTCTCATTGCTTTAAGCTTAAGATGCCACTGCACGGAAAAATTAAACTGCTGATTCAACAATTCAATTGCTAAAAAAAAGTGACCGCAATGTTACAATATAGATTTTCCACCCCAAAAATGCTACTTTAACCACCCCTGTGGTTAAAGTAGCTTACAATAGTGGTTAAAGTAGCATTTTTTGTCGTAAAATCTACGTTGAAACGTTGCATTCATTTTTTTTTAGCAATTGAATTGTTAAATGAGCAATTTAATTTTTTCCAAGTGGTATTCTCACCAGCTTCACCTCAATAGCTCAGTATTCTCTGAAGTGCAAAGAAATATACATAGAAAAATACATGAAAAATTCTGCATGAGAGTGCTGTAATGATGCTGGAATGTTAAAAACAATTGCAAATCTGACCTTAAAATTACAAAAATGGCAAAGTTCTTTCTTTGTCCTAGATAATGGTCAGTTTACAGGAAGGCAGTGTTGTTCCTCAGCCATTGGTATGGAAGGAGCAGAAATTATATCATGCCAACCGAGAATCAAAAGGATCAAAAGATTAAACATTTGACTAAAGTGTAAGATTTCTAATTTTTATTGTGTTTTCTGTTTGATTGTTGTGCTTTAAAACTGAATCATCAAAGTAGCACTGTAATGTTATTTGCAACCATTAGAAATATTTTTCTGTCTTACAATTAATCTACAAGTCAAATACTTTAGCTTATATTATCTTGGATTTTTAACGTTCAGTTTAACAAGTTCCCAAGGACGATAATGCCTCCAGTGTGAGTCCCGAGTAACGCAAGGTTTGGTCTATCTAACAGTACTTTGTAACCCAAGTAGTGTACAGTCTTTAAACGAACATATACAGTGTGCATACGGACAAATAATGATTAATTTATCTATACTATAAGCTCCGAGACCTCCTAATTTTGCGTAACTGGTGACGCTTAGTTCCAGCCTTCTACCGGGCCGATTTTCATGATTTTTGCAGCAATCGACAGGCAATTGTCTCTAGATTAGCCAACTCTTTTCAGATTTTCAAAATATGAACCAGGTTTTTTTATATTACGTGGTAAAGTTGCGAATTCTCCCATTTAAACAATGTAAATTTATACTTTTTGTCATAGTTCGTTTGAGCGTTCTACCGGGCCGATTTCCATGATTTTTGCGTAGATCGACAGGTAATTGGCCCTAGATGAGCCCGCTTTAATTAGATTTTGGAAATAGGACCCAGGTTTTTTTAAAATCACGTTATAAAAGTGAGTAAATTTACAGAATGCTCCGGGACTGCTACCGCTATGCGCGGGAGGATGCGCAGTGGTCAAAGAGGTTGCGCAGTGGATGTGTAGCCTGCGCATCAACTCTACACTTATGTACACAAGATTCGCACCGATGACCTAACGTCGAGCGGAGGCCGAGACGTCTAAGACGTCGAAGGTGTCCAGAATTAATTCGGTGTGGGTTCAATCCCCGACTAAAGTATTCTAAATTATTACCCCTTATCATTGTTCATTGTTTTACTGCAATATTTCATCAAGCAGTCATTCCAAAACGCGTCCTTTTAATTTTAAAGTAATTTTAGGTGAAGTTTAAAATTAAAGTATATCTCATACCGTAATTTTTTAGGGGGAAAATAAAACTAACACTGATAGGAGGGTAAAAATAGGGCCGCGAAGCGGCCCATTGATGGCGCGGAGCGCCTTCGGGGGGTTGGGCCGCGTAGCGGCCAGGGGGCGTAGCCCCCTAGTATTACTGTATGAGCAAATTATAACATTGATAATTTTTCCCCCTTTTTTTCAGGCTGATTCCGATAAAGAAATTGGTCTTCTTAGACAGCTGCCTTTCACCTCGAATTTATTGAGAATGAGTGTAGTTACAAGAGGATTGAAAAGCTCTCACTTCACCCTTTATTGCAAAGGGGCGCCTGAAATCATCATATCCTTATGTCTTCCAGAATCAGGTTATATTCCCTGTGAAATCTTTTGCTCAGTCATTCATTCTGACTTATTTTGTCTTTTTTGGTTATAACCATAATTTTTTGTCCAGAATCCAGGACAAATTCTGTCAGTAGATTGATTCCTATGTGATCTCCTTTAATTAACATCGAGTCCAGAATTTTCTCGTCCATAATTTTTTCAATATCAAAGATGCAAAAATTCTCGACTGCAAAACAAATCTTTATTCAACCCCCTCATTCTCCTATTTATGGGATGAAATTGGGAGCGTTGGGTTTTATAGAACTTGCTTCTGGTGAAAGGGGTAGCCATAAAAGCAGACTACAGTTTAATCAAAAAATTCTTCTGGCCTCGAGGAAGCAGCTATTCACTTTTATTCCCCTTACAGGAGACTGAAAGATGCAATGAGATATCTCTTTGATGTGTCTGTTGGAGTTAGGAAGAGTTAATACTCAAGATTCCCTCAGAACAGATTATTTGACTCCTTCTACTGAGGTTTTGCTGTTTCAGTCTCAGCATCAGGTGTCCATTTGTTTTCAGTCTTGCTTTGTTTGGGTAAATTGACCCTGGTCTTATGTAATAATGCAATAAATCTTGATCATGAGCTCTGTACTCTGTCTGCGCAACTAAGATGCCCTACCTGTGTTAACTTTTCAATTTACTACGGTTCCAATGAATTTCTCTTAAATTGAACGTTCTTTTTTGTGCAGTGCCTCAAGAATCGCGCTCAGTTTTGCAGCAATATACCCAAAAAGGGTACCGTGTCATAGCCGTAGCATACAAAGAATTACCTGTGACATATGCAAAGATGCAAAGAATGACGCGGGAACAGCTGGAGTGCAACTTGATATTTTTAGGGTTAGTTATCCTCGAAAATCTTCTCAAGCCTGAAAGCTCTGAAGTCCTGAAATCTCTGCACAATGCTGACATCCGAACCATCATGGTAACTGGTAAGTGTCCTCTTCTACAGATTTAGTAACCTTGATGTTTCGGGGACTGTAGAGAAGCAAGTTTTATGAGATCGATGTTCTAAAGTTTTTAAAGAAGGATTTTTGAGATGAAAGTTTAAGCAGGGATAATTTATCTTCTACTGCTAGCAGCATCTCACAAAAAATAACGACAAATGGGATGTAGTAAAGTTTAATTCTTAAATAAACCTTACACTTGGCTTAAAATTGAAAATCATGAATATTCTCAAGCAATCACTTACACATAATTCATGTAATAGTAAAGAGCAGCCAAAGTTCAAGTATCTGTAAACAGAGTCAGTTGCGCCTGTCGCAGAATGACTTTTTGATAGTTGAGGCTTAAAAAAATAAGCCTTACCAAATAATAATAAGATCCGCCGGAACGCTGAGCTCATACATTCTCTATTAACTGAGCTAACACCCTTTGAAAAACTTGGTGTGTCCACTGCTGTAGTGAATACCATGGTTTTCTCCACCTTTGAATCAGCAATTAGGGATTTACATATTTTTACTGGTCGCTTAACCTGAAACACGGATGAAACTAAGATGGAAGAAACCATTTCAAGCCATCAATGACTTCATATGCTGTATTTTTGAGGTACGATATCTCTGCTGATACTGGACGAGAATAATTAGTGGTTGAACATATCTTATTATGTTTCGCTGATCTATAATCTGAAGTCACCCAAACATGATTCTATGACTGGCGCTGCTAACCAATTGGAAGGCTTCAGAAGTCTATAAGTGTCACTATCTTTTTCAAAATTTGCAAAAATAATGCTTCTCATAGATATATTCCAGTTTCTAGTTCTTTTCCATCCTCTGCAAAATTTGTCGATCACTGATTGAACCAATGTGTGTTCTCTAATTTCAGGGGATAATATGCACACAGCCCTCAGTGTTGCAAGAGATTGCGGAATGGTTCCGCCAGGACAGTTCGTCATCGAAGTGCATGCAGATCAGCCATCACAACATGTTCGCTATATCAATGCAACGACTGTCACGTCTTCGGGTACTGTCAAGCCAGTAAGGATATTTCAATATATTATTCCATTTACTTGAGTCAAATTAATTCATTCATGTAAGTTTATTCTACCATCAACATTTTTGGCATCTTGAGAGAACTACTGCACCATTTAAAATATGAGGCTTCTATTTTAAGATGTATCTTAAGATGCTGATGTAAAATCGTTCTGGGGGAAAAAAAGAGAAAAAAATCCATTTATGAAGAATAAAAAATTCTAAATGATCATGAATCGTTCAAGAATCAAAACCAAGTTAAGAAATTAGGACGTAATGTGGAAAGCTGCTAACTTACCATTTGCGAACTCCAGCATAAAGTCAAATTGACTCATGCGCGAAGAAAAAAAAAATTCAACAGGTCTAGTCTGAGACTGAGAATAAACAAGAAGATATTTGTGGATGTGTAAGTACATAAGCTCTTCCTAGATTTTCAATCGAAGAGATTGTATAGAAAGGTGCAGTTCTTTTTTCATTCAACACGCTCACTGCCAGTGTGTTTTTGTAATATTGTTCTTGAGACAGCTCTATCGCACAGCAGCATGATGAAAACGTGCCGTTTGTAAAGCTGGTCACCATGATGGTTTTGGCTTGGTACAACGAACAAGAAAAATTTCACTGTGACCAGCTTGGCAGTGAAAGTGTTAAGAAATGTAAGTGTCTAAAAGAAAAGGTACTTTAGGGCCAACGATTTTTTCACAATGGGTTAAAAATTTTAATTTGAAGCTTTGGAAGGAAGCCATCCTACTGTATCTGGAAAAATACAAGTTTTGAGAGGCCTTGCTCATTTTTTAAGCAAAAGAGGGTGTGACTGTGAAGTGGCATTATGATTGAGCAATTTAGAGCCCCAAATGTGGCAGATTGGAATTTTAAATAGTCTTCTCTCCAATAACCTCATTTTTTTTAGCTGCGAACTGTAAACCATCGTAAGTCTAGTTATGATTGACATTTTTAGGCGTTTTTTATACCAAACTGTTAAACTGTTTCATAAAACCCCCTGTTAAGTACCAGTAGCTCAACTCTGAGATTTTGGACACTGTTGTGTTTTCCTTTGTTAGCAGTTACAAATAAAGTGTTCCACTCCAGAAAAAAGCTTGCAGTTTCTGCAGAAAATTTTTGCTAATACTGAGTTTTTTATGACAGTTGTCGGCGTCACTAGAAGGAAAAGAATCAAGCAGCGTCGCCAGTTTGGATACTCTTGAATCCGGCTTGATGATGTACAGCAAGGGAACAGCCATGAATGGTTCAACACCTTACTATGATGTGCAGATGAATGGCAAAGTCAGGTAATCATTGAAATCATCATTTTTACCCCCTGCATTAAGGTGATTCGATGGACGCCATATTTTGTGTCAGAACGGCATGCAATATATCGCATCAATTGGTTCCATTTTTTCAGCTACTCGTCATTTTTCTCCAACTTTGAGATCGCAATTCTGTTGTCAGGAGACTAAAGCACTCACTTACCAATTTTAACAAAGAAATTCAATGTAATAAAGGCGTGGTTTTTTCAGAGAGAAAACATTGCATTCGATACTGATATCGAAACTACACTCGAATGCGATATTTTCTCTCTGAAAAAACCACGCCTTTATTACGTTGAATTTCTTTGTTAAAACTGGTAAGCGAGTGCTTTAGTCTCCTGACAACAAAATTGCGATCTCAAAATTGGAGAAAAATGACGAGTAGCTGAAAAAATGGAACCAATTGATGCGATATATTGCATGCCGTTCTGACACAAAATATGGCGTCCATCGAATCACCTTAATGTATTCTTGCTGAATCCTAGCTAGTTCCAGGTGAACTACAGTTCATCTGTGTTTTGCCTCATTTTTAATACTAGTCAAGAAAATTCTTTTGCTTGATCTAGGCAAATTGTATTGTGGTAAACAAATTGTATGTGGTTTGAGAAAAATTTTAAGGGGGATAATGTGTTGGACCTTAAAAGCTTGTGTGCCTTTAAAAGAGGAATAAATTAGTGAGCTGTTTGACTCAGCCCCTCTAATATTTTACACTGAATGCTTTGGAAACAAAATCCAAACTCTCTCAACCCAAATTTTCATTCATTGCTCAGATTTATATTTTAGAGGGTAGGAAGATTTTTTTTTATTCACAGATCGAAGGAAATTTCAGCTCTCTTTTATCGCAAGTCGACATAACTTGATTGATTTCAATCGCTTTAAAATTACATTCGCATCCAAATTCATGTAAAAATATAGTTTCTCTTCTAGTTTAATAAACTTCAAGAGTCTCTGGAGAGATAAGGAAAGCACAGGGCACGGGAACTTATTCTCATGATCTCAATTTAATACAACTTTTAAACACAATTCTTTGGAATCTGAGGGTTTCAACAGTTAATTGAGATTTCAATCCATCACTTTAAGGGCGATAAATTTAATAATCAAAATCATTAAAGTTTGCATGTGGGAAAGTGTTTTGATCACATAATTTTTTTTTCTAGGTCGAATGTGTCAAATAATTTCAGTTTTGCCTTAACTGGTGATACATGGAGCTGGATAAAAACAAACCGTCCTCATTTAGTTCCGAGCCTTGTGACAAAAGGAGTTGTATTTTCTCGCATGAACCCGGAGCACAAGCAACAGCTCGTTCAAGATTTACAAGGCATTGGCTATTGTGTTGGTAAGTAAAATTTCCCATAGTCTCTATTAAAAAGGGTGGAATTTTATAGATGAATTTTTCCATAGCAGCATTTGACAGAGATGACTGGCCCTAGTGTTAAATAGAAACCTAGACTCTCTCTTTAAAACTGTCACTTCAAAAGAGTAGTGGACGCTAATTGTTTTTTATAGATTTATTTTAGTTTCTGCAAGGACAGTAATAACTCAATTTTCAATCAGCTCAATCAAGTTGTGCATCAGTGAAAGAATGCTGACACAAACAACTTGACATGCTCATCATTCTGAGCTGTCCTAGCGCAGCTCAGCTTTGCTTCTGTGACCCAAGATAAGTCAGGGATTCTTTGTAAGACTAACTGTAAATGTAAAAAATTCAAGAACAGACATTATATCTCGCTCAACCTATCTTCATTATCCTTTTATCACAGTGATAGAGTGTCATGAAGCCAACTAAAACAATAAAATTTTCATGAAAAATTCTGCGTCTATTTTTTCTTCAAAATTAAAAACAGAAGATGAATAAAAAACAACTTGACATCTTTATTGCGAGCGGCTCAATTTTATTATTACATTCATCTGTTTCAGCAATGTGTGGTGACGGAGCCAACGACTGCGGAGCTTTGAGAGCTGCCCAAGCTGGTATCTCATTAAGTGAGAATGAGTCGTCTGCCGCTTGTGCTTTTACTGCCAAAACATCGAGTGTTGAGTGCGTGGTTGCAGTCATTCGGGAAGGACGGGCTGCTCTCGTTACCTCCTTTGGTCTCTTCAAATACATGGCGGCCTACTCTCTTACTCAATTCGTATCTGTGATGCTTTTGTACTCACGCGACTCTAATCTCTCGGATCTTCAGTTCCTGTACATAGATCTTTTTCTTATCTCTTCATTTGCATTGCTTCATGCCCAAACACCACCTTTTCCAGGTAGGTCGAAGTTTTTCATTGCCATAACTATGAGGAAATGAATTTCAAAGTTTAAGGCTAAAATTTAAGAATTTCCATATGGATGAAGCATAGAGCCTTTTATACTGAGATAGAGGGCATTTTATTTTTCAGCAGAATGTATAGAATCAAAGTACATCATTTAAAAATGAATCCAAATTTCAATATCTCTAGCTCTAACTCACTTAGCTGCGGCTTTCATCAACATTCAGTAAGTCTAAAATCACAAAATATTTTTAAATATGGAGATGGACTATCGCAATGTTTTACTTAAGCCATGAATACAATGACTCTAGATGCAACTAGTACTTAGTCAAACCAACCCTCTGCAGCATAAATTAATTTTAGGTCTCGGATTCCTGCAAGAGAAATCTGCGTTGTAGAACTCATTAAAATTTCAAATTTTGTACTACTCAAAATTTCAAAATGTATTTCTTCAAAAAGGGCACTGACGCAAATTTTTAACACCAAGTCGTAGAAAAATAATTCAATTTTTAAAAAAATGAAATAGTCCATTGGCATTGATTTGTAACACCATGCATTGAAAGGTGAAGGTTGAGTTATAATAAACAAAAAGAATGTGACGTTTGTCAAAAATTCTCATCTCTACCTGTTCAAACTTTTCAGGTCCTCTGGTTAAGGGCGGCCCACAAACATCCCTCATCTCTTGTGGACCCCTCATATCTCTATTCGGTCAGCTACTGGTCGTGGCCATCATCCAATTTTTAGTTTTTTACCTGACCCCTGGCTTCGAAAACTACTCTGTTTTCACGATCTCAAGCATCCAGTATATTTTGTTAGCAATCGTGTTTTGCAAAGGTCGGCCGTACCGAGACTCGCTGATCAAAGGCCGTCTATTCATTACCATTGCAGCAACAGTCTCCTTATGTACGCTATACCTTGCATTATACCCGGCGGAGATTGTAGCCTCGTGGTTTGAGCTAAGCCTTCCGATCGATTTCGAAAACCGGTGGCAGGTCTTGTTTCTTGGACTCGTCAACATTATCACTGCAATAATAATTGAGCAGTTCATTGTTGACTTCTGTATAACGAAGAAACTTGATGCCAAGTAAGTGACACTCAGTTTTTTTTTCTGAATTTATTAATATTTTTACTTTTTAGGTAGTCGAATAGCACTATATGGGATACTGTAGACAGGAAAGACCTCCATTCAATTTTAGTTGAGTTTTCAGTATTAAATTTTCTGACCATCAGTTTACATGAGGGGCTGTTCATGAAATACGTTATGATAGATTTGGGATTATTTTACCCCCCTTTGCCCCCTCGTAATGCTTATGTATCATAGATCCTTATCCTTTAGAATGTAAAAATAAAATGGCATAACGCTCTCCTCCTAGAGCTAAGCTCATATACAGCATTGGCGTATGATTGCGAAATGCCGTATTTCGACTCACAATTAAGGTAACTGGAAGATATTTTAGTGCGTTTTTATCATAATTTCGCATTGTTACCAAATTTTCACTCTAGGAGATGAATTTTTCGAAGGCAAAACAATTTCGGTCCGGGTACTAGAGCACCTAAAGGAAGGATGAATGGTGCCCATTGTTTCTACCCTGACAATAAACGGGTTGCGGGCATCTTTTTGCTGCAAAATAAAGGGTGTCCAGTAAGCATTCCCCTCATTGCAGCCGATACTGATGCGTTGCCATTTACGGATTTTAATTCCGAAGGAAAAGTCTCAGGTTTCGTTAAATGGACTGTAGCTGCAAGGTTCTCTCAAAAAATGCATACAAAAAAGAGTATCCAAGTTCTCCTTGATCCCAATGCTATGGAGAATAAGGCAGAGTTGTAGCATGATCATTTCTGGTTTTTTGTTACAGGCTGAGTCAGTGTGCCAGGTGGAGGAAACCGTACGCAAGCGTAGAACTAGAATTGCTTAATCATTTCAACTGGCCCTTAACAACTGTTGACGGCAAGTGTGAATCGGCAGCAATGAACTCAGTGCATGTTGCCTCATCCAACACATCATTTGCCACAGGTAAGAATTTGAATAATCTCTTGTTTGATTTGCTTAATTTAAAGGACAGTGCATTATCACTTTGCCAATAATCAGTCAGTCGGGCTTGGGAAGAATTGGCTTGCAAATGCAGGAGTGCTCAATAATTTTAAACGAGTCTGAATTGAGAGGGTTCAAAATTGGCATTTTACATAATATATTTTTAAGATTAAGGTATTTGAGTCTTGATTGGCGTTCCTGTTTAAAACTTAAATATACAGTAAATCTTGTGTTATACGAATTCGGATTATCCAAACTCACTTGTTGATACATATTCCTCACTTTCACTCTGAAGTCACAAAGGAAAATGACGCATCTCAGATAGCCCTTTCGTTCTCCATTGTACCCAATATGTACTAGGATTTCCCTGCCTTTATCCGTTGATCTCTCTCCATCACCAAGGAGAAATTTAATCAGCCAGCTCTGATTTGTCTCAACTTTCTGTTATCCAAACGGGCCAATCGTCACATTAGTTTCAGTTTCCATTAGTTGATCCGAGGTTTACTGTATTAATCTAATTCTTGATCAGAACTTAAAAAAATAGACTATAATGCCATTTATTGGTCTCCTTTAACGCAAAATGAACTGCATAAATCACTCGCAACCTATTTTTTGGGATACTGTAGTGTTTTCTGTCAGAACCTCAACTTCTTATTTTTCAATCTATCTTGAGAAATATTGTTCTCTTGAAAAATTTTCTCGCATCTAAGTCTCTTTTTTTTTTCCATGGATGGTCTTTGGCCACGTTTGGAAACATCTACGAGCTCTGCGGGTGGAGTTACTTGTGCTGTATTCTCAGCCACACACTTGTCTCTAGAAAATGTGGCACAAGTGGATTTTTCATGGGATCAAATCTGTTCACACTTAATGAGTCTTTCTCTTGTGATAGATTTGTAATCAGTCTCTTTTTTTCTCATTGACAGCAACAAACTGTAGTGCCTTATCCGTTAATAAGGCAGAGCACCGAAACTCTGTCGCTAGTATTCCGGCAAAAGCTGCCAAGCCTGCAGACCCTGCTTTGAACAATGTCCTCAAGAACAACTGCCACAACCATGTGGAACCTAGTCATATAGTGAATATCGAAGAACAGGCGGTTTCCTGATGTTTGCTCTTCCTATTTCTTAATTTTATTTTACGATTTTTGTCCACTTTGCGTCACCCGATGCCTCTTTTGGGCTGCCAAGTGGCCGCAAAGCTTGTGATCTGTCATGCATGACTCGACCCAAATTACCAAAAACCAGCAGGAAGTCTGCTAGGATTGTATTGTTAAGTATTGCAAATCACAGTGAGAACCGGAAATAATTTTGCATGATGTATGTGTCTCTTTGCAACTGCGGCAATTTCCTATCGGTGAATGCCATTTTTTAATAGAACACCAAGTCCAAAAATGGGGCCTTAACCTTTTACATGTTTTTTTTTTTTTTTTTTTTTTTTTTCAAAATATTTCCCGAAAAACCGAGTTTTAGGAAATGTTAGTTCACAGCATATGATACATACATGTTCCAGCAAGATTAGGAAATATATGTACGTATATTTCAAGAGAATAATTGTCAATAAATAATCGATCAAGTGTCAACTAAAAAGATTGGTCCCTCAAATTTTATTTTTGTGTCAGAAAATTTGAAGTGAGGACCAATTTGATTCTTTTTAATTTATGACTGCTCTTTGCCATTTATTATCAATCTTAAATCATAGAAAATTGAAGGAAATAATCTTCAAATTTCCTTTAGAAGGAGATGCTTCCATTCCTTTAGTTTTGTCAGAGTAAAGTTTGTGAAAAAATTGATTTTTAAGTATAAATGCTTTGGCTCCTTTTGCAATCGGAAAAGGAGCCTGCTAGCTTCGTGCTGAAATGAAAGGAACTGATCCTAAGTTTCTTAATTTAAAAAAAAAATTGTTTGAAAAATTTACCATTTTTATCAAGAATCCTCATTGCTTATTTTTGCAATAATTAAGTTTCATTTAACTGGTTCCTAATTTCACCAGTAGAGTGAGTGTTGAATTTTTAAACTGATCAAAAATTATCTTGAAGAAATATATTTACTAAGTACAATAGTTCAGTTTTACATGTATAGATGTGTTTTGAGGTCATTAGAATTCCTTTCTTTACCAATCTTCTGAAGGCACATCATTGTCATCAACAAGAGGAAGTAGCAGTCTGAAAGTGTGTAATAGCTCAAGTCAAATTGTCCTAAGAGTGAATTAAATCCTTATTGATATTAATCAGTTCAAATTTGCTCTAATTTTTCAAGTCAAAATTGTTATTGTAATGATGTTTTAAATGGTTAAATCTTACCAGTAAAAAGTTAAGAGTTGCTGCAAAGACTGGTCCTTAAGTTTTAAGTGCCGACCAAAATATTTATTTCAGTATTAGAAAACAGCATTATTTTAATTCTGGAGATTTACTCCTTATTTTAAAGCTTGGTAACTTTTTTTCCCTGTTTTTTTTTTCTTTTCTTTTCTTTTTTCTTTCTTTCATTCTTCCCTGTCATTTAAATACTCGTTGAGCGAAGCCCTAGTTTCCGCCAATAAGAAATAACTTGGTGTTTCTAAAGTGGTAACTGCAGTTATTGCCGGTTCTCATAATGTGGTTAGAGCTGTGACACAGAGTGCACCGGTGATTTGAAACTATTATATTATTTGTATTGTGATCACTGATACTTGAAAGTATTATGCTAAAACTGAAACTCATTGTTTCGCAACCGCTCACCAAGTGAGATGATTTGATCGATTTTACGAATAAAAAAAGTCTCTCATTAAGCTTTTAGAAGGTTTTGTTGTTCAAGATAAAATTCTTTTGAAAAACTGTAGGAACGTTTATGGTACGTATTTTTTAGTTTAATCGTGAATCTTTAAGCTGGGCTAGGTTTGAAATTTCCTCTCACTTGTAATTCTTACACAATTGAAATTTTAGTAATCAATTTGATTTTTTTTACAACATTTTGAAATTTCTGCTGCAGAAATGGAGAGTCTCATTTTCCACTAAAAAACATGGATTTATTTAAGCCTTTTATGTTGAATCTGAGTCTTCATATCAAAACCTCATAACCCTGACATTATTTTTAAATCAGAATTGAGGATTATATATAACCTCGGTTTCGTCTGATCAATCAGTCGATCCTTTTAATTGCATCCCATTTCCTACCAAATTGAGGTAGAAAGAGTAAAACCCATTATTTTTATGTCTCTAATAAAGTGCATTTACACTGATAAGCAGTACTTATATTCTCTGATTATCTCCTGCCTGAATTAATCTTAGTCCTCAACTATTTTGACCGTGGAAAAGCAATTCAGATTGATTTGCAATGCATTATTTTCTATTGTAAATTTTTAAAATTCTGCCTGCCAAACATAATAACTTTTTATATCAATCTAACTTTGCTCTAACTTAGTTTGTAAGTTAGAAGAGCGAATTAATACTTATCCAACTGGCAGTCAATTTTATTGTGACATTAAAATTCTTTCATGATAGTATTCTTCATACGTATATGTGTTTTACTGATATTGTACCAAGCGATTTATTTTGTATGATTTTAAAATTCATTATTATATTTGATTTTTTTGTAACATGAGGCAGCTTTGATCAAGGGTTAATAAAAGAGGACCAAGTATATGCAAAGAAAATTGACTTTTGCTAAAGGCAGCTTCACAATATCTAGAATTTGCCAGAAGACAAGCCGTTTTGGGTCTAGGCGAGTGGCAAGCGTGTCAACAAATTTAACAGTACTTACCAAATGTAGAGGTTTGCTTGTTGGGTGTTTCGAAATCTTACGAAGGCTTGGCTTTCCCAGTGAGGTCCCTGTGAGTCATGATTGCATTCAAATGAGATTGCAGTTTTCCCTACACTCTTATGAATTTCTAGCTGAGTCGCTCATCTAGGGTAGGGTAGACGGAAGCCGAGATTTGGCAAATATTCAAAGTTTGTGGAGTTAAGTTTGCAAATTGCGTAGTGTGATGACACCTTTATCATACTTTTACTTGTACTTACATCCTTAATTAATACGATGACTGCCACTGTGTTTTTTATGTTCAGATAACTCTGCGGGTTCACTAGTCCTCACGACTTCGCAACAATAATAGAAAAACTCAAGCAATTTTTTCTCTCCAAAATTCGAATTGTTTATTCTTGATCAATGTTGTGCTGGTTACAAGCTACGCATGAATAAATGGCTTCATGACTTGATTGTCAGAAACAAATCACACAAATTTTTCTGGAAAAAATATTTTATCTAGGTATTTCACCATTTTAAATGATTTCAAGGAAAAAAGCATGGTAAAAGTAATTTATCAAAGTACTTTTGTATCACCTCACGAAAGATAGACTAAAATTCACCCACCTTGTGCAAATTTTCCAATTGTTGGTTAGAAGACCTAACGTGGCTAAAACAGATTGGGTTGTAATCAACCTTTTTTTTTCTTGAGGGGGGGGGGGGCGTAAAAACCTTTCCCTCTTTGGCACAAGTATTTTTCTTCTCACTTCTTCACAATTATTTTATGAGAATTGGAAACAAATGTTGTTTTTAAAGTAATACATTGTTAGCAAGATTTTATATCAAGTTTGTTTTTTATTGAGTGATTGTACTCTATGTACCTTTACTTTTCCTAAAAGTTACTTTAGAAGTAATGTTGTTTAATTCTAGAACGAAATTGCTCTTATTTTTTTATAAATTTTCTTTGTAGGACCTCCTGGCGACTGTGTGTCCATGATGATCTTTCTTTCATTCATTTAGAGTTCATTAACATAGAGCCAAAAAAACTTTTTTCTTAAGCAGCATTTAATTTATTTCACTTGAGTGGCAATTGATGCCTTAGGAATAGAAACAGGAGGATAAAAGTAATTCCTACACATTTCTAAAGCCTCAACACCACTTGGAGAACCGTTTAAAAACTAATCTCTGATGGTGGGCTTTAGTCTCAAGAAATATCAAGCTTGCGTATTTTAAAGAGTGGAATTCGGCAAAGTCCCAAACTCCTATGGACGTATTTATGATAAAAGGAATTATGTGCACAGGGTTTGCATTAGACATAGTTCCTTTTGGCATAAATATGTTCATATCTGCCAAGTTTGTCAGTTAGGCAGTATTGTTACTTAGCCCTTAATAAACTTGTTTATGATCTAGAAGACTTTTTGTTGCCTTTCAGGTCGGGAAGATAAGACAGACGGAAAGAATGAAATACCTCAGAATGATAAAAACGAGTGGCACTGTGTCCACAAACACAAAGCGACAGTCCTACATCTCCTCTATAAGGTGCGCGTAAGAGGGCCAGAAGATTCCTATTTCAGTCCCTCTTTTCTCGAAATTGGCACATGAAAAGTTTAATTTTAGAAGCTTCTGAGGTTGTAACGATCATCAAATGAAATAATGTCGAAATTTAGCCGGCACGGAATTTTTCTAAATTGTGTGCGTAATTATTTGTTTCAATGCAAGATACAGTGTTACATTTAAACTTAACGAAGAGGGTAATTCTTTGAATCGCATATCTCTGCTTAGGGGTACTTCTGGGTGATAGTAAAAATTTAGTCCGCCGGCCAACTTTGGAACCAACATAAATTGCTTTTCTATTTTCATCGTTATTTTTTGTACCATTCTTAGGCTTTTGTGCAATGTAACACAGTCATAACAAGGTTTTCAAGAGCTAATGTGATATTTTTGTTGGTATTTTTCTATCAATTTGTGATGGTGAAATTGAAATAAACTTTTTCTTAACTTTAATCAAATCTGCTCCTTATTAGTATCCTGTACAAAAACTGCACTACCCCAAAAACATTAGAAATAATAATCTCTCTGCGTTGTTGCTTGATCATAGTTGCAAACAGTATATAGTCATTTTTACAGACCATAAATTAAAACTGAAATTGATCTCTGACCTCATCAATAATGCTAAACAAATGCTGAGTTTACAGCGAGGTTTGAAAATAGTCTTACTGTCAAACATAGAGGCTATGTATTCTATTCAAGTTTGGAACCTCTGGTTTTTATTTCTTCTAAGTTTCTGTTGCATCAATAAAATTTTCCAATGGGCTCAAGGGTTGACTAGTGTAAATATGTAGAAACTACAAAAAGCTTCAAAGAAAACGTATAATACACAAACAATAATTTACACTTGCATTCATCCTTACATACAATTGCCATAGTTTCTGTATCAGTTTACTCGAGACAGAAAAAACAGCATTTAGATTTAAGTTCTTAGTGGCTACTTCGGTTGATTTTCGGTGGGAAAAAGCGTTATAGAGCAGCCATTATCAAGGCTAATATTCCAGAGATGGCAACAACAGTGTAGCCGGTTGAGTAAACACCTTTGAGGGTCAATGCTTTGCCCATATCCCAAACCTGTAAAAATCGCAACGATAAATATATAAGACAAATTTTTTAGACAAATTTTTCCGAAAAAAATTTGAACGTTTAAATCGGGACAGACAATTGAGGCTCATACAGATTAAAAAAAAAAAAAAAAATTCAGTAGCCGATGATGATTAAAACTCTTTTCCTCCCATGTCTTGTACTTTTAAAAATACTTCAGGAGTGCAAATGAGGCACTGGATGCGAAAAGGGCACTTCTCGATTGTGGTGTTTCAGAATCTCAGTTGCTAATTAATCTCCTGGAGAAGAATTTAATGGGTGATTTTTCCAGAATTCTTTCCATAGGAAATAGTGGAATCATAAGGAGTATTCAGTAAAATTTTTAGTGAAATGGATGCATTCACTTTCCTTACAATGAATGAAATATTAGAGGAGACTCTGAAACACTGCAACCGAGAAGTGCCCTTTTCGCATCCAGTACCTCAAATGCAAACATCAAAAAAGGTTTCCAGCAAAATATGTTATTGGTTGGCAATAGATAATTTATCCCTAATAATAACTTAAACAGACTTCTGTAGGCTTCAGAGCAAGTACCTACCTATGCGTGAGCAGGTATCTTATCTTTGAAGTCGATCAAGGCTACCATGCGATAAGGCATAGCAACAAAATTTAAAAAAAGGTCTTTCAAAGGTTCAGAAAAGACAAAATTGCCCACACTCTCTGTGGACGAACTCTTGACATTTTATTTTTGTTGACTGAACATTACCCATCCATTGGTTCTCTTGTTCTTTTTATGTTCGCTCATCCAATTACCTACGTACTATTTATATTCAATATTAAGTTAAAACTGTGACCTATACCATGATCAAGCTCTGGTTCTAGTGCACAACAAGACTAAAGTGAAATGGAGTTATGTAATCGGTCAGTTTTGTTAGTTGTCTTCTTTATTGAGCTAAGTTGGGTGGAATAACGACAAGCTGAATGCCTCTTCCGATTTGCTGATCGCTAGTCGTCAATTTCACCTAAAATAAGCATAACATGGAAAACAGTGGACACGGCTGATCGATCACATGACTCAATTCCACCTTTGTCTTTTCTTTTCAAGTCGACAAACACAAGATTCATAAAATCAGCCTACTATCTCAGCAACTGAGGAGAGTCGGCAGAAAAATTGTTGAAGAATTGGCCAAAAGACTTCACAACTGGGTGGAGTAATTTTTCTGCATTGCATGCCTTTTTCATTAAAAAGAGGAGCAAAAAAAAGAGAGACGAATAAAATTATTCTGTAGAATTACAGAGAATTAATCTCAATTGAAACGTACCAAGTGCCTCACTCCATTGCAAAGGTGGTATGAGAAGGGCATGGCAAGACCTGCTTTGAAGACGAAAAGGATCGGGGCTGGAATGCCTAAATTAGCTATCATTGCTATTGCTGTCTTTACATCTCCCGATGACAAGGATACTAAAAGAGGAAAAAAACAAGTTAAAAAACCCATCAAAGTAAATCTGAAATTGTGGCCGCAAACATAGCAAAATCTTCCTTCCTCCCTTTTTTTCAAAAACAAGGCTTGGAATTTATTCCGGTGGCTTAAGGTCATAGGATTGAGTCTTCCACAAAACAACAAAGGCAATATAGCCAAGGATGGAGCTTCAATCGCTCTAAAACATATCGACGGTGCATGTAAGTCAGCAATCACATTACTCGGTTTATGGCGTCGCAGACTTCCTGTCATACTTTATTTTTTGAACGGAAAACCACTCCATGGCCTTTAATACTGCCGTGATTTTCCTTCTTTGTGTGAAGAAAATTCTGCATGAACTTCACGGAATGATGTCAATTTGTTCTCTTTTAAGAAAATAACATGGAGGCGAAGATTTTCAGACACCGCAAAGGAGATGTGTGATCCCTGACTTACGCTGTCGATTATCCAATAACTACATTTTAGGTGAGCACCTACATTAAAAATGTTTAAAAATTTATTTCGAATTTCAATTTAATTTTGAAGGAGAGACAGGCTCGGTTAAATAGCAGCATGATGTAATTTTGTAGGAGATCCAGACTTGCATGACAGAGGAAGGAAAAGAGTTGAAAAACCCAATTTTTAGCGGCAGAGAATTTAAAAACGGCATCTAACTCTGGTTTTAGCTGATGGAAACTTCAACAACAGAAAGAGAGGGCCAACTATGATTCAACCTTAAACCTCTCCTTTAGCCAAAACTATGGTTTTGGTGACCAACATTGAAAACCTTAGTGTGTGCCTTAAAATGATGAGCAGAATGAATTTTAATCCATTAAGCCAATTTTTTTAGCTTTTCTTGGCAGATTATCCTCACCTCCTGCTAGTCCAGCTGCATACGCTGTTAGGATTATTCCAGTGGCTCGGTGAGAGACAGACAACACTGTTGTCAGTTGGTACTGGTAGATTGTAAGATGGGGCGATAATGGACGATTGAGACGTGCATTTTTTTGGTCGTGAGACTCAGCTGCTGCAACTGTTTGAGGCTGAACAGATCTTAAAGTTATGCTGCGGCACCTGGTATACAAGACAGAAGAATACAACTGAGGTTATAACTATTACGCAAATGAAAGTGGTCATTTCAAAAATGACTTCATTTTTTTTACAAACAGATACTCCCTTGAGATGGGTGTTTCAATTGCCAAAAAGTATTAACGTTCGAACTGCAATAGAGAGAGCTTGATTGAATTCAAACCTAGATAATCCTGATACTAAACGATATCCAAACGAGGGTAAGTAAAGGTGGACCTAAAAAAATATTTACATTGTACTCCCGGAGGTCAATTGTATTTTAATAAGGTCTTGTCAGACTTTGAAAATTCTCATCCGATTCATTGGAAAATGTATTTAAATTACAGCCAAATATAAAAATTTCACTGATTTTACTGAGACTAGAAATAAAAGAAACAATATGAATTCTTATTCCCCAAAGTCTATCACTAAAAAGCGATGTAATTTGGCACTTTGAATTTGATCGGTTTTCTTCCCGAGAGTATTGCAGTTAAGTAGGTGTGTAAAGTTGTCCACTCAACAAAAAATAGAATGTTCTACAGCGTTCCACATATATTTTGGGATATAGATAAGAGTACACTATGGCAGTCGGAGAACATAGAATAAAAATAGACAGAAAAAAGCGGGAACAAGGTTGAAAAAACACACAATAATCACGAGTCACAGGACGTTTCGACCGACCGGTCTAGAGGACTTCTAGCCGACATGACCAGGGACTGGTAAATTTGTTTTTAGCCTCTGTTTTTTCAGATTTTTTAATTCTCTTTGACGGATGATAATGACCGGGAGACCGGCCGAAATGTTCTGTGATTTGTAATTATTGTGTGTTTTTCCAGCCTTGCCTTCCTTTTTTCCTGTCTATTTTATTACATTCTGGGATGTTGTAACTCCTGGAATACCTGACAAAGATGCGTCAGATGAGGAGAGCAGCTGTGGTTTTCATTGAAGGGATTTTGCTGTGGGATTTTTTGGAGGTTACAGTCCTATTTAATTGAACAGCTTTGAGGCGTCCAAATTTTTCAAGAGTCGTTCTGCATAGAGCCCATGAAAACGATTTTGGGCTTAATGACTAAGCTCCAGTGTGAGGCAACACTATGGCTGAGCTGAATAAGGAGAGAAAACTCAGTTATGAAAAATGAACCAAATTCCAAAACTTACATGAGGTTGGGAAACTTTTGAGCTGAGGCCCTTTGAGCATTGAGTGCCAGCATACTGGAAAGAATAGATACAGTTGATATTAGACAAAATCCTTAAACAAAATCATTGGGGAGGTGCACAATTATTGCACTTGGCATCATAAATTAAAACTGCTACAGTAACTGTATGGTGTATTGATTCGGTTAACAATTTGAATAGTTTTTAAGCTTGAAATGAAATTTTGAAATGATTGTTCAATTTAGACCATACATCAACGGCGTAAGTCCGCAATCACAAATCTCGTTTGCGGTGTCTGAAAATCTCCGCTTCTATGTTATTTTTTTGAAGGAGATCAAATTGACATCATTCCTTGAAGCATAGAGAAAAAAAATCACCGCGGTTTTACAGACTTACCATTGAGTACTTTTCCATTAAAAAAAAAGTATGACAGGAAGTCTGCGACGTCGGAAACCGAGTTATGTAATTGCAGACATACACCGTCGACATATTTCTTTCAGCGACAAAACTTTAAAAAAATCTGAAAAATTAAAGTGCATCAGGAGAGAGAGGAAAATCCAAACAGCAAGGGTACAGGAAAAATATGAGTGGTATGTTGATGGTACATTCAAAAAGTACTTGAGAAGAGAGAAGAGCTGACCTTATTGCTTTCACTTCGATAACTTGCTAGATGCCTTGGTATGGTGGGCACTAAATCAGGCCAAGGTTAGACATTTGGTGGCAATGATAATGATAGTATTTAAAAAAGTTAGAGGTTTAATTTAACCAACTTTTTCACAATAAAGAAAACTCGTTTTGTAGCATTCAGACCATAAAATTTTTAAGACTGGCCTACACTGTCATCGAGGCTGTATTCTAAAAAGAATATGTTTAGTAAGTACAGCAGTTAGCTTGCAATGGAGACAACTTTGATCAGTTTCTCCCTTGTAACCAAGTATTAATTTTCCTGAATGGAATATTCTGAATAAAGGCTTAGACACAAAGATCCTACAACTCTAAACGTTTGATGCATTCAGATTAGTGAAACACAATAAAAGGGTGTGCTGAAAGCTCTGTCTCCTGTGAATGAATGTAAATGTACATTTCATTAAATCTATATTCTTCAATTAGTAGCTACGTGATATTTGCAACTGAAGAAGATGGATTTCAGATGGATAGTCTGACGAGGTGATTTCAGCCTCATCATGATGCACAACGGCAAAAACTTCCTACGCTTACGTAAGCAAGTGCAAAACTGCGTAGTATCAGAGAACATCAAAAATATCTTTGAGAGCAGTGTTCACCTTTTGAAACCAAACATTTTTTTCTCGTTCTGATGATGATAAATCATCAGTAGGACATTGAAATGCCAGCAATTAGAAATGTCATTGAGAAGTATTGAAGTGGAGTCACTTCAGCATCTAACCTTCAAACGGGGACAAGACTAGCAGGACTTGAAAGTTATTTTTTTTCGATCCTTGCATTGCAGAGAAAAATGTAACGAGGAAAAAAGTGCAACGAGAGTATTTGTCAAAATAATACATCGTATCTTACCTCCTCGCTAGAATCATTTTTGCAAAATTGTTGATAAGACTGATGAAGTGATTACTGATAAGCTCACGACCAAAACAATCTGCACAGAAGGTAAAAATGAATAGATGAACCTCTCGATTGACAGAACCGCCGATCGCGGCAATCCTATTACATTGACTACCTCCTGGAAGGGCCCCTATGTATGTAATTCAAAATCTGTGCTGCGCTGCGATGTGCAAAAAAAATAACAAACCAAAATCGCCAACGACCTTACTTCTTGAGCTGTAAAGTTAAATATTTTGCGTTTAATCTCCTCTCGGCGTGTAATATCCATTTTTAAAGTTGTTAACTTTGACAGTGTTCACCTTATTCTTGGTTCAGTGGTGTGTCCTTATCAAATTGAAAATGCCTCCAACATCTTTAGTTAACATAATTGCTCTAGGACTTGTTGGTGTAGTCGCTTATGGAATCTTCACATTTTTCAACAGTTATTCTAGTGATTATCAGCTGGAAAATAGACATCGGAGTGATAGGTCATCCCAACGTAGAGCACCTCCAAGCAGGTACAGAAAACTTTCAGTTCATTTTATCACTAATCATTGCCCAGTTCAAATCCTCCTGGTGCGCAGCTCATACATTTAGTCGGAGGAAAAGTTGGATGCAAATTAGAACTGTGTCAATTCGGCCTTAGTTATGGCTATTATCTTTGTTATCGTGACGCTGACAAGCTATTGAGGTGCCATAGACGGGTCAGTTATGAACCTCATACAAAGATCTGCCTCTCACAAATCCTAGTAAAAATATGCACCCAGCGTATCGATCACTGGCTGTATCTTCGTTTATGAGCTCCCTTTTATAAAACTTTTCTCATGACATTTGATTTGGGAGCCGTTGATGATTGTGCTGTTTGGAGATGGTAAAAACACGAAGAGTAAATAGAGCCAAGGTTCAGCTTCTGGATCCTTTTTTGATTTGGACTTTGGGAGGAACAGGTCAGAAAAAACAATTCGAAGGGAAGGTTACTACTCAGCTCCAAGGAATGACTTGAGGAAGACTTGCCACTAAATTTCCCAGAACTAATTTAGTTTCACTTAGTTTTGTTGAAAAATTGCGTTAGTTTCTAAAAATCTTTCATTAACAGTGACTAGAAAGCCATTTTTCATAAAGCTTCCATCGACCTTATTTTTTTTCCTTCTTTTTTTATTGCAGGAAGGACAACACTTGTTTTTGCGAGGATGATAGGGTAACCAATTGCACCCTCATGATCTGCGGACACCGGTTCCATAAGGAGTGCCTCAAGCAATGGGCAGAGGTAAGGTTCCACTCTAAGATATTTGAAAGCACTTATACAAAGAACGATGCACACTGTGGGAATTGGTTCCCTCACAATTTCCAATTTTTTATTGCATTTAACTTGTCAATCAATCCTGGTAAAAAATCCTAATTGTTCCAAGTTTCTACAAGCCACCGTTTTTGTACAATTTGTGCAATTTGTACATTTTGTACAGTTATTTTTCAATAATTTGCGTAGTCAATGAAACCAGAGCAGTGATCAGTGTTCGAAACTCACAGGTGCCAGTGCGCCAAATGCACTTGAAAAATCAGTCATGGCCCCCATGAAAGAAGGCTCTGTGCCACCATGGCCCCTAAAAATTGCCCCCCCCCCCTCTCCAAAAAAATCCAAATGTTAGGTATGTTGAGTGATTTTTTTTTAAATTTTGACGCACGGCGCTGGATTCCAACTTTTCACTAATTGCGCCGTGATATAGAGGCTAAAAGCCAATTTTTCCCCTATAAAATCTTCCATGGCCCCTAAAAATTGAGCTTGATAGGCCACATGGCTCCTGAATCTCAAAGGTAAGATTTGAACACTGACAGTGATATGGATAAAAGAGGTCCTTGATCATCTTAGCGCTTGTAAGCCGGTTAGGTGAAAAACTCAGCATAAAATAAAAGAAAGACAGGCAAGCAGGAATTCTCACTAACCTTTAACAAAATTGTCAAAAATACGAGATTAGGAGGGAGAGGAACAGATTAGGGAGGAATATACCAAAGGACAAACATGCTCTGGGTTTTTCTGTGAATTACGTCTAGCCCGTGTTGAGCGGTGGAAGGTAGAAGAGTTTCTTTGATTATCGCCTCATCTACTTCATTTTCCAAGCAAATTATCATACTTAACTTCGACCGCGAATTGTGCGAAAAAGGTATATGGCAGAAACTTGGTGCATTTACGACTTTTGATCAGGAGCTATAGGAGAGCTTATTACAATAAAAATAAAAACTGGAAATAGGCATGGCACCAATTCTGAGAAGCAAAATGCAGCATGCTTCAGCAATTTTTGGCTAATTTTCGCCCACAGACAGGTATGACTTTTTTTCTTCCTTTTTTTTTCTCCCTTTTTTTTGAGTGATGGAATCCAAAGAATTGAATATGAGTTTCTAAAGAAAATTGACTTGATGTGGTCCAATAGTTGAGAATTAACTAAAAAGCTCCTTAATATGCTGAGTAGGTGAAATTTTGCGATAAATAAGTGAGTATGAAACTTTCTGTAGAGTTTATCTTGAAGTATGTGTTGTATTTTTAAAAATTGAAGTGTCAGAGCTCAATTTTTGGTCTGACAAGACCATTTTAAAAAATTTTACAGTTCGTGAGGGCTCTCAAAATTTTTCTTGAAATGTTATGTACACCAGCATTGATAAATTTATTTTTTTCCCCTTGTGCAGGAACGATCTCCACCCGATTGCCCTTTTGATCGAGAAGAGTTCAATTTTCAACTGGATGTTAAGTCAGATTGAATCGAACTTGATGACAAAAAGTTGTTGATGCTAGCGAAATGTCAACAATGGTAATAGAATTTCTTTCGCAAATCTCATGAAACCCTCACATCTTTACAAGTAGAAATTATAGAAATTTATATCGTTCAGAGGGTATAAATCTGAGATATTTAGCCCTCAAAGAGAGTGATAAGTTCAATAACACCCTCAAAAAATGTATCTAGTCTAAGAAAAATTAAATAGTGAGGCAGGAGTTGGTGAAATTGATGTTATCATTAAATTTACTCTCACTAGATAATGATCTGCTCAAAAAAAGTGAAAAAAGAAGTAAAAAAACTTCACTGGTTAGTTTTAAAACATAAGATGTTTACACCTCTCCTTTGTTTTAAAAATTTGTCGTTGCTTATTCGTACATGTCCAAGGTATGGTATCAGTATTGCAGTCCAACCACTATTTAATTTGATGCTTAATTTTTTGGCCCTCTCTTGTTTTTCCCCTTACTCTATCCTAGTCTATTTTTTCTACTTGCATAACCTAATGAATTTTAACATTAATTTGTAGTAAGCCATTACAGAATAGAAAAATACCGCGTGGCTGTAGTAGCATATCTTGGAAGGAGCAGGTTCTGGTATCTCATGCTTTGTAACAATACAACTGTCACCTATCCTCCAAAGGGTTTGTCTTATGTGTGAATCTTTATTCTGTTACCCGTTTCAATTTTTTTATTTTCAAAGAATTGGAGGAAAAATTCCACAATACCTATGTCTCTACACTGACTTCAAACAGGCTCTATGGATAGTATTTTTATCAACCATGTGAGCCGAAATTTATGAGGGTAATCAACCTAAGCTCTCTCAACCAGTGTGGATGCAACACTCACAAGAAGCAATCCTTACGTTATGCTCTAAAGATCAATTGACATTCCCTGTTGGTTAACCAACTGATGGAATCCAGATGTCACCTCATCAAACTGTTTTTTGCTTGAGTAGATATTTTGTCAAATTTTGTTGTATGCTTTTGTAAACTCCCAAGTAAAACTTCGATTATCTGCATCTATTGAGGCTCAGCTTATTGGGCTAATTAAAGAGTTGGAACCACCCATAGAAAATGGGAAGGTGAATTCTATATATTTTGGCACCCAATGTACCACCGAACAGGGTACAAAATTACGAATCATAGCACATGTTGCCTCGTTAAAATTTACATGGAATACGATGGACGCATTCAAACTTTCCACATTCAATTCATAAGTTAGAAAATAACGGTTTTGGTCTGCGTCAATTCACACTCTCTGCTCATAGAAAAACCACTAGTTTATTGGAGTCAAATTGAACACTGAAGTAATTTCAGTGTATTCGTTGATGGAAGAATGTTCCTGTGTACTGACTTTTTGGACAAAATTAAAGATATCTTCCTATCAGAATACGATGTGAATATGTGTTAAACCAAGCTGTAGTCATTTACCTAATACGTAGGTTAACTTCAATGCCTAATTTGCTAGAAGTTTGAATTCACTGCCTATAATGTAACAGCAGACATATATTTCTCTTTTATGAAGTAATGTTGAAAGTTTTTGATGTATTCAATGTGTTCTGTGTCAAATGCTGATGAGAAATCATGTGCTTTAGATGTTAATTTCTAACCCTGTCTAATTAATATTGCCTTGCCAAAAAAAGGGCGTAGCTACACATTGAGATGAGCTGGGAAAAACACTAAATTGTATGGACAACACGGTTCATTACAGAACGTAGTTACACCTTAATGTCAGGAAGGCAACAAAGCGGTCCATTCTACCAGTGTGGAGCACGCACTCACAGCTTCCGGAGGTTTGATTTAAAATACACTACTTAAATTACCATTCTGCCCTCAATGTACACTGTTCTACTGATTTTCAATTGGACGTATTTCTATTAAACAGAACTATGTGCATTATGACGTGAGCCCTGTTATGAACATATTCTTATGGGTCTCAGGGTTCATGTCTTAATGCACATAGTTCCGTTTGATAGAAATACGTCCAATTTGCCATCGCACTTTTTTTCAATTGGATCCAGTTAATCAAAGTTTTACTGTTTCTTCTTTATGTATGACATGTTTATTTTTTTAGGGCAAATTTTGTATTTTAATATTTTATGAGGATTTTAGGAGAACGAGTTAGGATCGTTTAATTAATCTCAGCAATTCCAGAATGTACTCCATTATTTGTCTTGAGAAAATGGTTATTTCACTTAGAGCAACTCTCCTTGTGTGCAGCTGAGATAAGTTAACTTTCATTGAGATGGTGTGAGTCAAGGTGCGCTTACCCTCTTTCTTTTTCTGCAAATTGTGGCAGAAAATCCTATGGAAGTGTTATGTTTCATTTGTCGGTGAGTTTCAGCTAGAACCAAGACTGAGGCCAATTTTTACCTCAGCATCCAAATTGTACGTTTTTTCATTGATTTTCAGTGAAATTTTCGATTTTTGGCTAATTTATAAGATTATCATAATTTGAGATAATGAAACTACTGGAACGCATCAAAATCACCAACAAGGTATAATTAAGGAGAAACAAACCACTCATTTTGCTTTGTGTGGAGAAATTGTGGTATTGTACCTACTCAGCTGAGAGTTGTAGACAGTGTAACTCCTCTCTTCTTTGCATTGCAGAATGACGAAAAAAAAGACATTTTTCTAATGTGTATTTTGAAAACATTAGGAACACATTTTTTGTATCAATTATTCCGAGGCACATCTCTAAGCAATATTTGAAGAATAAAAAGTTAATAGTTGAATAGGATGTGTGTTGCATTCCTTACGGTTTACTTGAGAAACGATACTATCTGTTGTGCACCGGTGAAAAGAAAATTGTCAGAGTAAGTTCCTCAATATAAGTATTCGAGTAGTCCGGCATTTCTTATTGCTCCGTAGAACATGAATGAAATCGGATTAGAATCAATCTTTGTTTTCCTTTTTGAGATGAATTATGAATCATGTACTTTAAAGTTGTTCATATGTTAAATTTTGTAGTTTAAAATTGTTGCTTCTGTTGCATATTTGAAAGGCTATTTGAAGTAGCCACTAATAAATAGGGCACTCACATTGTCGGAGGAATGCAAACCTAGGCTTTCTTTCCAATCATAGAAAAAAAATTGAGTTTCAGGTAGCGCTCTAATAACTTCTTGATTGAAAAGACGTTTTTCAATAATAACCAGCAATCTTTTTATCAACCACCTTTCTTTAGCTAGAGGCACTTTTTAATTTTTTCAGTTATTTTTTCAAAATTTCCTCTGCCTTCTTCAAGAATTTTCCCTGTGCTTGCAAGGAGGAAGAAAAGGCTAAATTCAAACTTGGAACCAGCCTAACAGCTTAAAATTTAAGATTTTGCCTAAATGATGTAACATCCTCCCTCTTTCCAACTCCTTGCATTCTTTATGAATTCTAATTTTAAATTAAATCCTATTTATTTTCCCCGATGCCAAGACTCAACCTTCTTCTAAAAGAAGGATAAAACACTAGTGTTGATCTATCATGCTTTTTGTCTTACCAATAATAGTGATCAGCTTATTGTTAGTTTTAAGTACTCAGGATCGAAAAAGTTGAGTGACAGCTTGTTGAATGTAGTTAAATGTACCAGACGGTTCGCTCATAAATCTTTTTCTGTCATAAAGATCGGTCTTCTAAAGACGTGACCAAGTTTCCTCTCTCCGGTTGGGCAGTGCATAGATTAATAACTTCTATTGTGACTCCTTTGTTTCATATCTCTGTCTTATACAGGATGATCCAAAAGTTCCGCACCACCCCAGGGTTTTTGCCTCTTTTCAGGGTGATTTTCTTATAAAATTTTAGGAGCTCTCGAAAGTCGTTTCCATGGACCGAGGAGCACTCATGTTTCAAGTCTTTATCTCAATTGGTTCAAAAGTTACAAGGGTAATGTTCGGTGATGGTGATGAGGGACTTTTAGTTCACCCTGTGTTGATCGGATGTTATTATAATATCCATTGTATCTCGTTGAACTCTGCGATAAGTAGGAGCAAAATAATTCTCGTATGATTAGGCTTCTTGTTATTGTGTCATCTCTGTATTTGCTTGGGTGTAATTCCGAGAATTTTGTCTTCGCGTTAGTTTTTATTTGTTTGATGAAGCAAGCAAGCTCTTGTTTGTTCCCGAGCTTTAGTCTGAAATCTTCCTGAAACGTAGCAAACGTACCTATCTCAAAGAAGTCATAACCAATTTGGTGCTTACTAAGGAGGCCATTGGTTGAAGGCCCAATACGAAACGACTGAATTAAGTTAAGGTTGACAGTGGAAAGAGGAAATGCACTGAGCTTCTAAAACAAATGATTTGATAGTTGTTCAACCAATTGATAAAACTTGAATTTCGAGAAATTTCTTTGACAATCCTAGGATATGGACAGTGAAACTGCAGGAATGCAATCTTGGTTTGCGACATTGTTGACTTTCTATCCTATTTACACAGTCACATATTACATAAAGAGTAAAGAATAGTAAGTAAAAAAAAAAGCAAATAGTATACAACATATAATAGTAAAAATGGTTATTTCCCATTAGAAAAATAGTTCATGTCTTTTCTTGATAACCTCCCTGATTTTTCATCTCAGTGTAAAAACTAGTCATCGAAAATTTCAAGCAATAATTTTGACTCATTGTAAAATAAAGTAAATGAGAGGAAAGATTTTGAAACACAACAAACAAGATACACATTCCCGAAGTTTTACCGTCGATATGTAAAATTTATCGTGGATTTAAAAAAAAAATAATAATAATAATAATAATCAAGGGTTCAAGAAAATTTTAAATTGCAAGTGCTTGGAGGAATGATTAAACAATCGAATCTCCAATCTCTGGCTATATTGCTGTTTAGATCCAGCAAGGTGCTTATAAGCACTGCTTGGGCTAGATGTTATCTGATAGTGTGTTTCTTTTCTCTCTCTGAAGAAAATGTATTCAATCAGGCATTTCCATAAGCTAAAATGTATCCATTCACTGTTACTACGGCTCTTTTAAAATTCTGTTTTGTTCACAGAAGAAATTTCCGCCGTTCAATAGTATTTCTGTTTTGGTCACAGACTACGTTTTCCTCCTTTTATTTTAGCTCTAGACAGAAAGTAATAAAAAAATTTTCAGTCCAAGTTATGTCTATCTAATTTTCAACTGTGTCAGTGGTAAAATTAGCATAGCACTGGTCTGTTAACACGGCAAAATTGAAGTAAGCGGTCAATTGGAATATTACGTATGAAAGTAACCCAACTCCAGTAAACTAGAATTGGGGTTTTGAATCTCTTTTCCCTTTTTATCTACTTGAAACGATAAGTCAACAGCAAGTCACTAATGGGTGCTGTGTGTTTTACTCCTTTGCCTCTTTTTGCAGTGCTCAGACCAGTTCATGGATGTATTTTAGCTTAAACATTAAAACCATGCAGCATGAACTCTTTTTGAAGGGTGCTAAGTTTTAAGCAACTTGTGCTGTTTGGACTCGAGAACACTTATAACCTCTTTATTTTTATGTTTTCTGTGATTTTTTAGTTGTTGTAATTGTTAGGAATATTAGGTCCTTGAGTTTATTGATACGACTCTGGTCTCAGTTTACCTGTGGTCCTTACTTGATAGTGTTTATTTCCCTGCCTTGGCCTTTTTTAGTGCATAGATTTCTCTTAAAACCCAGGCGCTTTCTCGTCTATTTTCAACTTCTCTCCAGCTTTAACCTCTTTGTGTATCCCTGTGTGTTAAATTTTAAAATTTGTCTACGTTTCTCATTGCATGGTCAATATTTCCTCACAATATAAAAAGTGCCTTTAATCTTATATTACGCATGGCACATGAGTGAGTATCTTAACAGTTTCCTGTAGGTTTTGATTTTTTCCTTACAATCAATGTCCACTTTGTGACTTGATTGCTCTTGTTTTTTTACCTCAAGTGTGAGGTTGGATATACTTTAGACAAAGTTCATCACCTACTTTGAGTTTATTGAGGTTTCCTGCAAGAAAAAATTATGATGATTTCGTCTTTATCAATTCAATGTAACTTCCTTGAAATGTTCTCCTTCATTCAAGCAAATACAGTCGGTGAAACCCAAGTATTTTACTATTATTAACATAAGATTTTTGTAAAATGTTACTTTTTTAAATAAATTTTTGTTTTCTTTTGTAAAATCTGCTTTGATTTTTTTCTGTAGGATCATTTCATAAGTAGGCTCCCAATAGAATTATGTCCTTTGTAAATGATATTCAAATTCTAATTAATCAAAGGACTCCTAAAACCAGGATAGGCCTAATGAATGGTAAATTTTGATAAATGAGAGCTCTCAATCTTAAAAATAAAAGGTTCTCCAGGGTTCAGTCTCTTGAAGATTATTTGTTTTTAACTTCTTGTGAGGTATTTCAATACTTTCTCAAGTTCCCATAATAGAATGGGCCAGTTGCTCTAATCACAGAATTGTGTAACTGCGCAATGGATCCATTAAAGCATAAAGGTATGTGCCTAAAGTATCAACACCTCAGTTCCTGTTAAGCTGCTAAAAAGGGAGATTTTTTTAGAGAAAGAAAAAAACAGAGAAGTTCATGATAGTTTTTAATTCCTTTAACAGCAAAACAATCATTATTAAAACGAGCGCATGTTTTTGTTGAAAAAAAATTCAACACTGTACTCAATAAAATAAACAGAACAAGATAAAAGAAAAATTTACAAGAATAATTATCGTGGTATGTAAAAGAAATGGGTGATAGGATTTTGAACTTTTATCACAGGCAAGAATAATGATAAACATAAAAAAATAACTTCTAAATAGGAAATATACATATATCTCTAGACAGAGTTGAATTTTTGGTACTTCAAAAGCATTAAATTTGTATTTTCTGACAGTCACAAAAAATGTTTTAAAAATTCAAGCATTCAGACTAAGTGAAAGAAAATTTGCAGAAAATTTGACTGGAATAGATGGGATAACTTAGGAACTACTCTCGTTCGAACACTTATCTGTTGAATGTTATTTTGAACATCTAAACTTCCAATTTTCATGATAGAACTCAGTGAATTTTGAGGATATTCCAAGGAATAGTTTGGGGTCAAAATTTCAGCTTTCAAGTGAATCTTCAGCGTTGCTTCCGAAGAAACCCATCATATTATGCAGCTAAAATCTAGGTCCGGAATGAGTGGATATTTAAATGACACAACAAATAAATTGAATTCTAAGTCTCACAAGTTCTAGTAGCATTCATCTATGATGTTAAAGACCAAAAACTAGCTTTGGAAGTTCGATAATGAAGGCTAAAACTTGATTTCCCAGTTTCTGATAAGGGAAACCTCTAAAAGCGAAAGAGCCAGTTTACAGTGGGAGAGGGATATTCTGCAACTGCTGAGAGTGATTACCCGTGATTGGTTGCATCAAGGTCATTTGGCTTGGCCCTACTTTTTCCTTGCCATAATTTCCTGGTGTGGAAGGAACAGATATATGAAAATACGGTGACAGTCAACGTGTTGAACAACGGAAAATAAATAAGGCTTTCAATTGCAATCATTTTTGGAGTATCACTGAAAATTCACAGATTAAATGGAAATAAATCATGAAAAACGAGCCTCGTTGATGCTAGGTGAGTGACAATTGATAAATTAAGAGGCTAAAAAACTTCCAGCGTTAGATGAAGACTGTAACATGGCACCACTCATTATCATTGTGTGATATGCAAAAATTTACCTGGGAATATTCGTATCGCTGGGAAGCGATACAATTATGTCATCAATTCACTGAGGTGATTCAGCGGGCGGTGATTGATTGATTAGCTTGTAGCATGGACGACAGACTGGCACAGTGTTTTGACTAAGGTGGCCAGGTAATGCTGTGTGCTTGTCTATACACCTTGTGCAGAATACATTTCCGCATTTCCAACAGTGATTCTGAGATGAAATTGGAAAAAGAAAATTATCGGATTGAAGAGGTAGTGATGTTAAAATGGAGTTTCTGCTAAAACAGGGGAATTTGTGACCAATTCCACTGCTCCTAATGTAAATCGGCCTCAAATCTAAGAATATTCTTCGTTTGATAGTCGATCTACCAACAGTTTCTGTTTTGCAAGGTACCTGTTCAAGCCCCCTGAGAGTCAAATCATGCTGTTATGCATTTTAATACACATTGATAGGTGGATACTTTTATTGCAGCAAATTCCTTTGTCTCATGATTTAAAGTACAGTTTAATTATCCGATAAAATGCAGTGGAAACCCAAGCTGGATATCAGCAATGCCAGATGTTCAAAAACATATTTAAACGGAAAAATAGGAGATACAATGCCATAACAATGCAATAACATGCATAAACATGCCTCGTCGGCATGCTGGATAAGTGGACAAAATTTTGCAATTATGAACTACAAATTCTGGCTTAGCTTAAAAAAACGTAAGTACTTTTAGTTTTCCAATAGACTTATGTGAATTTACGAAAAAGCCAGAAATTATAGTTCTTAATTGCAAAATGTAGTTGAAGTGATGAGCGGAAATAGACATATTAATGGACTCACTTAAGCTATACTTTTAGCTTAAGCTTACATCATTTTATTGCCCGATCAGATTCTTTATACTACAATTGTATCTTGTTGTAATGTTTCTCAAAATAACATTTTCCTGGAAATGTTCATTTTTTCATAAGTCCCTGCCAGCCATTTCTCGTCAAAGTGTTCCTCAAAAATATGCTTTTCCAGGAACAACAATCTACTTTTAATCTCCCTTTGAAAACGTTACATCAAGATATGACTGTAATACTTAATGTGACGAAGCATAATTTGACTTCAAGGGATTTATTTAAAAATCTCTGAAATTCAAAGATCATTAACTGATCCGCAGACTGTCAGATCATTCTCTTAGATACAGTTGAGACACCCTTGACAGGGCTTTGTATATTTCTAATTTCATTGATATGCAGCATTGCCTTTACAATTAAAATAAAAATACAACAGCTCCTGTTAATGAACGTTAGACTATTTTAAGAAGATCGCTTTTAAGTTTAAGATGAATTGTTGGATTAAATGTTTCAAGTGGACTACTTACTTTTTTGGTAAAATGGTCAAAAGGTGCAGAGCAACTGCACTCTTGGACTGATCGCAACGTTTTCCAATCCAAAGCTACGGACTCTAAATCTGATGTGATCTGTGTGATCTTCTCTTCTGCAAAAATCATAATCATGCACCTGGGTTATTAACATAACAATCATTCTATTGATAAAGGCTTACTCTAAAAACATAAATTAAGGGTGAAAAATCATCTACGTCGCAAGAGAGCAGTGGTTATGATTTCCACTGTCAATCACTCCAAGAATATAAATCACAGGAAAGTGGAGGCACAATTTGGCTGCCACAAACGCCCTGGATTGTGTTTGCTTGACATCAAAGGACTGCACACACAATACCAAGATTAGGTGCAGGCTGAATTTTGATAGTTTGTTCAATATGATGTTCCTTAAAACCTCCATAGCTTGATAAATTTATAGAATTGAACATCAATGCACCGATCTCGACAGAAGTGAGACTGAAAAGTGAATTTTTCAGCCCTCTTACACGCATTTTCTAGGAGACACGTAGGACTGTTGCTGTATGTGTGTGTAGATTCTGTGCCACACCCTGTTTTTGTTCAAAGGAATAAGAGTTCTGCCTCTCTCTTAGTGTAAGCTTATTGTTACTGTTGTTGTTGGTCATGTTCTCCTGTTATTTCTGTCTACCTATTGTTGAACTGGTCTCCTACTGTGACTGGACCCGGTTTCGGTGTTTTCCTTGTTTAGTTATGTATAACTTAGCCCTGATGTTGGAGCAAACCTGGCTCCAAAACGTTGGCTGAGTAATATACTTATAAGTTTCGGAAATTTAAAATTTAATAAAATGGTTGATAACTCATGAATCGGTGTTCAGTTATCATAAAACATTAATATAGATAACATATAGATAATGGACCAGACATAGAACTGGTCTGAAAGATTGCTCAAAATTGTAATGACAGCAATCTTAAATTTAAACCCCCGTTAAAAACAATGTAAAGTGGAGGGAAATAGATCCACATTAGACTGGCACACACATGATTTTAACACACTATGAAGATGCATTATGCAACAAAATAGCAAGAAAAATCCTTCAGCAATAATCCTTAACACTTGCTTGTAGCAGGTAAAGTGTAAGACTAAGTTCAACTTTACTTTCTGGCTGTATTGTATTTGCCGTTAAAGCATAATCACCTAACAGCATGGGAACAGAGAAATTCATTCAAATTATGATTCAGAATATCCTTACCTAAATTCTGACTTTCTGAAGACTCCGATTCGGTTTTACGGAATTCAATAGCACCTAGTGGATCATCGAATGAGTTTAAATTCGATAATACTGAGACCTGGAAAATAAATGAGATAAAATAAAAGAGGGGCAAAATGAAAAATTTGGAATGTAATAAAGAAGAAAAAATCTAAAGTAAACTGATAGTAACAGTTTTGAAGAGGCATTTGCGATCATGAAAAGTAAAAATTCATTGCGAGGCTTCATTGATACAAGGATCTACAATATTGAAATGAACTACACACTTAGTTTAATTCAGAGGTGTTAATTCTAAGAGAAGGAAACAACCCTTGACAGACTTCAGAAGCCCCTTCCTTAATTTTACACGGAAACTCCTTAGAAAAAAATTTGTTGATTCTAATTTGTGGTTTTCTGACTCTGATTTCCTCACAGAATAGTGGGGTACCATCATTCAGTTATTTACAATACTTGAAGTCAAGCTGAAAGCTATGAATTAAGAAGCTTACCTTATTATAAAAAAATTTATTTTCAATAGATGGACTACTATCTTTCAATAATGAAGACTTCACTTTGCCTCCACATTCTGATAGTTTACTTTTGATGAGGGATATTTTCTGAAAATAAACAATAAGCAATTTAGCAGCTGAAACTCATCAACAATAAAGATTTGGAAAGGACCTGTCGATGTAGCGTTTTAAAAAGAAAAAATTGAAAATTGATAAAGTTAAGTGCTTGCTTGAGTCTTGATGACACATTTAAGTTACAGAGTGTCTCCAGACTCAGATGAAAAAAAATTCCCTGATTTTTCTTACTTAAAATTTGTGCGCGTAGAACTGAAAATGAAAAAAATTTTGTACCAATTTCACCGACAATGACAGAAGCATGTGAGCCTTTTTTCTCTGGGTGTAAATGATTCAGTTAACTGAAATTAATATTCCTCATTGATATTAATTCTTCTGTTCACTATTCAGAGAGTGATTCAAAGCATGGAGCCTCGAACCAAACTGGGAATCAAACTTTGATCGTAGGGACGTTTTTTCCAACTGAAAATTTCGAGTTTTTTAGATTCCAAAATATTTCATGAAACTCCCTGATTCATCAGACTTGCTGGAATTCCCCAGAGATTCCTAATTTTCCAGAACTTCAGTGAAACTCTGGAGTTAGCAAGATTGGGCTCAACTCAACTCAAAATGTGAGTTCTCACATTGCGGAACAAATAAAGAAGAAAAAAAATGGTGGGCTGAAGAGAGATGAGATTGCATACCCTGTGCAAAAATCGGACATGATCCTCCAAAGAATTGCTATGATCATTTGTAGCAGTAATGTATTCACTAACATTTTCCCTAGGATGAACTCCACTTTCAAATCTACAGTACATGCCCCTCCAGAACCTGAAAAGTAAAGGAGTAAGAGGGCACATGGAGGAATTAGGTAAAGGAGAAATAATTTCATACTCAATGACACAGATAAGAGAAACTTCAGAATATTTTTGGTGAAAAAATAAAAATATGGGTTTAATTTATTTGGATGTTTTATTGTATAAATCTCTGGTAATGCCTATCTTTTAGGGTGGCCCTTACTTTGAACTTTTTTCGAAATTTCAGGAGCAGAACCCTGCAAACGGTTTCTGTGGGTAAATAATGAACGAAAAAAAACTTTTTGGAAAAAAATAATTTTAAACCATGCCTCAATTCTGCTGAAGTTGGGACCCACCATTAACGATTTTTGGCAAATCGCGTTTTCGTGCGATTTGGCGCTAACTTTTTTACATGATCTAATGCACCTGAAGTTACAAAATTTTGTAATTAGGACCATCATTTGTGGTATTTTCACATTAAGTTTTCAGATTTGGTTTGACAAAATTCGTATATTTGGCCTTCAAATCACGAAAAAACGCGATTTCTGCAATCCATTTCCCTTGAGGCGCATTCAACAGCAGTTTGCCACTTTCATTTCGCTTGGATTTGATCAATTTTGTTTGTAGGAAATCTAATTAGTGTATTTGGGAGGGTCAAGGGGCTTTCTCCCTCTTCATCTCTATGGCATTGCACGCAAAAATTTGAAGGCGTAATCTAACGAAATTCTCCGCATTTGTTGTTTTGTTTGTCTGTATTTCTGATTGAGTCCACAAGCATAATGCACCAATAGTGTACCAGGTAATAAACTGAATGGAAAACTATTTGTCAATTAATTGCCTTTGTTCTAAAAGTAACTATTTTTATATGCTAAGGGCATAAAATCAAAGAACTCACTTAAAATTCTGAGGAGCTAAGTTTGGCTTCAGTAAATCTGAATGCTGTTCGGGCGCATACAGGGGATTCATGTACTCCGACATATGATTGGCCATAAATCCCCACAGTGAGAAGGTTCTCTCATTTAATCTGTAAAAAAAAAAAAATAAAATCCATCACATTAGTTTCAAAATAAGCTCATTTTCTGGCAAAGCTGAATTGTAGAGTCATTTGCATGAGTCTGCTTTGGCGGCATGAGTGGAGTGCATATTCGTAACATTTAGAGCGCAGGCCTTGATTTTGTTGGCAAAAAACGTTTGTTAGAAGATGGCTACAAGAATGTTTACTTCTGTATTCTATCACAAATCAATGGTTTCCACTATTAGGGGTGTACGGGTAGGGTAGACTGGCATACAAAAATCTGAATTTGCAGACTGCTTGAGTTTGGAATATTATTCCAACAATTAACAACAAAAGAAGTGACACAAGAAAATGGGTGAAGAAGGCTTAAATAAACATCAAAATTTCTGGAGTAAAATAAACATTAAACGAAAGCAGGCATTCTGTCTTTTGTTTTAGCCTTATTTACCAATTTTCTAGGGTCTGTTCTTCGTTAAATTATCCAGGCTATTCTTATGTAGTATTCTTATCATGAAGGTTGAACGTTGATGTTGATCTGACTCGCCACTGACCACAACCAGCAAGATTTGCAATATACTTACACTTATTTGTAATATTTTGTTTATTTTTCCTTGAAATGGCTTAGACGCAGCAAGTCGTTAAATAACTTTAATGCTTACAGGGGTTTAATTTTAAAATATAAGATTCACTTTCTGCCCCTTCCAAAAAAGTTAGGCTGTACAGAGTAATCCAATAGGCTACAGCTCTTTTCCTTAAAAAAAATCGATTTGGGCAGCAAAGACAATTTTTAGAACATGTAGTGTGTACCAACCTCAAATCAATGCGATCTTTCTCGCAATTGCCGATGAATGTTCCAAACTGACATGAGGACAGATGATCATGGAGGGTCAATAGAAAATTTTCATTAAATTGGAATGCTCTTGGATACTGTTCTGCAAGATGCCATGTAGCCTCAATGAACTGAGTGAAAACTGGTGAGACTTCTTTCGGATCGCCTGCGATGTGCCCGTATCGATCACTGAACTTATGCCCAAATGCCAGCCAATCTTTTTCTATCAAGGCCTATGAAATATTGAAAGAATTTTGAGGATCTCGCATGGAAAAAATGAGAAATTAATAATTGACGATTTCTTGTTAGTCACGATTTTGAAAAATATCAGCTCTGCAAACCATAACAACGCATGCTGTAAGAGTACGCAATGCAAACAAAATTGTAATACAAGGCAATCAGCTTATCAATAAAAAAGAAAAGAGTTGACCGGGTATTTGTAAAATTCAATCAAGTTACGGTTTTTTTCAATTTGACTCAACTTGTGAGGGTGTCCACAAATCTTGGGATCTTTAGAGAGACAATGTGATACCCCTAAAGATCTTCAGAAGAGATGAGAAGAATTAATGTACTTGGGGATTGAAAAAAAAAAGAAAAAAGAAACACTATGCTCCATAAAATGATTCATTGAATCAAAATTAACCACAATTTTAAATTGGACAACATCCAAAATTATAACATTGATCTTATGGATTTCAACGAGGGGTTCAAAAGATAGAACTGTTAATTCTTGCTTGAATTGCAGGATTTGTTATTGCAAGATAGGCGAAATCGATGTATTTCTTTAAAATGGTGCTGGAGCCATAAACAGGACACAATTCCGTGATTCACTGACCTGGTATCCTTGGATTGTTCTATAGTATGGGTCCAAGAGAAGTGAGGATAGAGAGCACACTTGTGCAGTTCGATCCCAGCCATCGGAGCAGTGGACAACAACACTCACACCTGTTGATACAGCTTGTGCGATAAAAAATGCCGCATCAAAAATGGCTTTGACATGCCGCAACCAGCCACTGGACTCAAGACCACTTAGAAAGTTGTTCATGGTGGATGTGGTGGTTTGCTGTTCGCATGCTGTAATTATGATCAAATTAATGAGGAACAGTCTGGTTAGGAAAACAGGGAGAAAAAAATGAGTTTCAGAGCCAAGGAATCAGGCTATTGCACTTTGTCCTTTTAATTAGTTTACTAAGCACTAAAATGAAAGGTGACATGTATGTTAAGGTTTCTCATTTAATCAAATTTGAGCTGAGAGAACGACTTTGAAAGTTGCTGAAAATCTAACTTCATTTCAAATGGAAAAATACTGCACCAGCAGTTTTTGTGGTATAAGTTAGAGGATCCACTTCATTCGGCTTGTTTATTTCACTTATTTGCTCTCTTTAGCATTAGAACATTGATACATTTTAAATCAGAAGTACAGATATGATTGACTTCTCAAAATGTCTTCATAAGTACGTCAGTGTAGCAGCCATTTAGTTTATTGTCTACACTCGATCTGTGATAGTCAAACCCTAGATTCGGCTGTAGACTATGATCAAGTTGCTTTTGTTGAGAGATTGAGTACCTCTAAACATTAATAATTGTTGAGAAAATGGCTGACTCACTTTCAATCAGTTTGCCAAGGCTGCTCCTCATGATATGAATGTTTTCCACTCCAAAGAACTGAAACTTGATATTTTCATAAAAATTTTCATTTTCATACCCTTTCCCTGTTGCTCGATTTGCCATTGCGTTGATCTGTAAAAAAGGAAAAATGCGAATTGTAAGATGCTGTTATAACTTTTTTTTTTCCAGAATTTATCTACTTTCTTTTTTTTAAAACAAAATTTTATGAAATTTGTTTTACTTCAAGGTTGCGTTTTGGACACACAACAAACTCACTCACTCACAGTGTCAGTTTGAAATAATTACAGTAAATTTTACGTTAGAAAAGTTGTTTTACATTTTGTGTTTATTGTATGAGGTATGTAATTTTATGCTCTGAAGATGACGACCAAGTCAAAAAGCCTTAAGCAATAAAAAACTTAAAACATTTACATCGCTTTGGTTCCTTCATTCAATTCACTTATTATTTGTAAGTGCTGAGTTGAAAAGCTATGATTATGTACAATTAAGACATACCATTGGTCTGGTGTCAGCAACATACATACTGCTAAAATTGGGATTCGTTTTCAGGATACAGTTCAACATTTTTTCGTCTTCTAAACACCGGGCACTGAACCCTGATAGTGGCTGACTGCACCGAGAGATGGATGCCTAAAATTGTAGAGGAGAAAAAAACCACAGATTAACATGAGACACGTACTGAAGGATTTTTATACAATCTACTGACTAAGCTGATTAATTTGATATTGCTTCCACTCTAGTTAGATTTGGATAGTTCATTTATCGAATCCTAGCAGTTGGTTTCTAAGGCTCACATAGAACTTCACACAAGATCATGGCAAATTGTTGGAAAGTTGCTTCCATACCGTAAGTTCACCGTTTCCATGGTCAGGTCATGAATAAATAAGTAAAAATAATGGAAAAGAGATGAAATTTACCTTATTGCTATGGAGATAACAGAGAACAGGAAGTCGTCCTTTACTTCTGAATTTAGAGCTTCCAACTAAAATATTAGTTGAGGCTGAGGATGGAACGTACAGGTACTTTGGGTACGTATCACACAACTAAAAAAAAAAAAACACAAACAAACACATCTTAGGACCATAGCCAGATATTTTTGCAAAACATTTGAATGGAGATTTTAATGTTTTTCACGAGAGAGAAAACTTATAAGTTTAGTTACAAGGGAGAACATTGTGAAGTAAAATATCACAAGAAGATTCTACTGGAGGTTTAGAAACATACAAGGTATGACACCGTCGAATCTACTTCCTGAAAAATGGATTATCTTGAATTGAGTTCCCATCAGCTAAAAATCAGCATCTTTTCAGCAACACATTTAATTACCCATGTAGGCAGCTGTTCATTAAGTATGTACCTAAAGGCTACTTACGTTACCATAAAGGTATGTCTTTGAAAGCAACTAAAGTGCAATAAATAAGGTACTTATTGTACACGCTGATTTTTTCCTGAACATTGTTTTAGTTCTAGGCATGAAAGTGTTTCAAAAGTCAAAATCTCACTGAAAATTTCTGAGAGTAATATTGATTACTCAGCCATTCAGTTGGTAAATGCTCTTCTGTCAAAAATACAGTTTCTCTGCAAAATGCAGATAATGTGTCATTCCTCAGGGAGTCAAAAAACCTCCTACTCAGAGAGGCCTTTAAGTGTTGATAAATTCCTCAAAAAATAATGAAATAAGCCATAATTAATAATGATGTGAACTATGAATTAAAAATTAAAAATTAAAATGATATTGCATCAATGGACAGTTACACAAAGCACAATATTGATTCATGCAAAAAAAAAATTAGTGAAATTGACTCCTAACTAAGATATTAAACGTTTATGGATGTGTGCCTTCAGCTCATGAGGAAACAAACTCCAAAGTTTTTTGAGACGAATGACGCATTGAATGTTACTCCAATAGTCAGTGGTGCGGCGTAGTATGTGTTATATTGATTGATTTGTCATTTAAACCTATAGAAAGAGATGGATAAACAAGGTGTTTAAAGTGATTTCAATGATTGATTCTTTACCATAGCTTTAAATGGGGAGCTATCGACAATTGATCATTTGTGCCTCGCCACTGGTGATAGTCGTCTCTGCGTTATGAAAATATGGCAACCTCAATCCTGGCGCTGTGGCTCAGCTGTTGTGTTTTTAAATGATCTAAGTGGTTATATTATTATTACCTCATAATCCTGATTTAGAAGGGTCAAAGACCACTCATCATTTGGAACTTTCATGCGCTGATATTCAGCTTGCAAATCAAAGAAGCTCCAACCAGCTTGCTTTGGGATGTCCTCTGAACTTGAAGTATAACGAAAACAGTACAAATCTTCTAACCTAGCTGCCGTGAAAAAGCAAACAACAATTATTTCTTTCCATTAAAGTGGTTATGAATTAGATTTGAATATAATCAAGATTAAAGAAAGGAACAACCTTTTTTGGCTAATCTCAGAGATCATACTTCTTTGATTAATTTTTCCAATGCGATGGCTACTTCAACGGAGCACCTCTAGGACTCACCAAAAGAGCACCACTTTAGAGCACAATCAATTCTATTTAATTTTCTACTATGATGTCAAACAATATAAAAAACAGTCCCTAATAATCAACAAGAGCAGGGCCGAAGACATTGAATCTTGTAGACCGAGCATCCGGCTTGGTCTTGTACAGGTGAAGCGCGACAAGTTATGGGCGGGAGGAAAGTGGGAGAGAGCGTGTGTCCCAAGCACTCAAGGAGACTGCAGAGAAGCAATGGAGAATCCATACTGGCGCTTAGTTTTTCACAAAGAACTCGTTTTGAGTCCCTTTTCAGACAGAATTCCAGAATTCATGAAAGTTGGAGAACATGCAAGTTTACAACCGAATCGCAAAGTTTCACTTTTTTGAACTAATTACTAACAGAGAAAAATGCCACACAGTTTGACAAAAATTCACCAGAGCCGCTACTGCGCATGTGCAGATGTGCGCATTTGGGACACACGAACTCATCGATGCAGGTCCATGCTTACACTCATCGGCATGCAAATTTTTAGAAGTTGTCACGCCTTCCGTAACAAAGGATGCAAGGTCTTTGTGATTCAATGTCTTTAACCAGGGCTTAAAGATCTTCAATCAGAGAATGACAAAGACATTCTTATAGAGATTCTGCATACAATATGGAGATTTTGATACCGAGAGTTTGTCTAAAAATTTAACTTGATGTTACCATTTGGTCCTTGGGCATCAAGAGTCCCACCTTGCATAGGTTTATTTTCTTGTTTAGGAGAATACTCTTGCACAGTAACTAACCACTGATGATGGTATTTTATAAAATCATAGTGGTCACATATTTATTCTGAACATGGTTAGACACTAAAGTTTAAGTCAATTTCCTGAGTGTTTGGTACGTATTTTATCTAAAACTTCCATGGAATTTTACCTGGCTGCGAAAGTTTCTGCAGAGACACAAACATTTCATGACAATCTGATTCTCTCGGAATGACAAAAGTGACTAGGAGGAAGGTTTTGCATCTTATCCTCAAAGAGGAACCAGCAGTGGACAAGGGCAACTTTTCTATGCTTGCTATGTGTGTGTAAAGGATCTGTAAAATAGGAAATGGAGACACAGGGTTATTAATTTTGAACGGCACAAAACGTCTTATAAATATATCTATTCACAGAAGAGGCTTACTAGTCAAGATTGGGGTAACAATCCTGATTAAAAAAATTCCCTCAAATTTCTCCTGGGAGCTTCAAAAATTCTACCCACATATTGCCTGGTGCTTTACTGATCAAGAAGTTGTCCATTGGTAAACAGCTCCTGCCTAAGTAAAGTCCGACTAAAACCTTGAGCTGAGCCTTTGGTAACTAACTCATTCAACTTTGTTCCATGATAGGTACAAAAATCGATCATTTCTTTTCTACCTTCTTTAAGTTAATTATTATTCTTTCTGCAATAATTTTGATGAATGTAATTGATTTTCCAACCGCGATTTGCTGGTGGTATTCTTTTCCCTGACGCTTCTTGAGCCAAGTAGATGGAATTCCCCTTTTTAAAACTTAGAAAAAAAGAAGCGCACAAAACTAAAAAGCATAAAAGTATTAAATTAAATTTGATAAGAGAACGTTCCACTTACCCAAGTCTCCTTCTTTTTATCTGGATCCACAAAAATTAAATGAGTCGGTGTTAGATATAAGGTTCCAACAGCAGGTTCGCTAGGATGATATCGATCGAGCATGCGGACATTCTCCACCTAGAAAAAATATTCGGTTACCTTGAAAGGAGGAGTGTCAAATTTTAGTTAAATCTAACTCAATTTGCCACTGTCCACAGGAAAGGGTTCATTACTGCCAAATAATTTAAAATTGAGATAATGGTATCACTCCTTGGAGAGGTAAGTTGGAAACATTGATTTTACTGATGTATGTTGAAATTGGGAGAAATCTTAATTATTTAGTTGGCATTACAACACTATTCTGCTGATAATTTTTAATAGGGCAAATTGACAAAATGCTGTTCCCAAAACAATTTTCCTGCACACATTGAGATATATTTTCCTGTGGACAACCACATTTGAATGAAGGTATGAAAAAATACATATTCAGATAGAAAAAAAACGATTCTCAAGGCTTCATGTCAATAAATTTCATAACCTCTGATTGTGCTAGTGTTGACAGTAAATAAAAAAACAATGACTCACTCTGGTACTCACATTACCCTAATTGTGCTCGTAATTGGTATTGATAGTAAATAACAAATCAAGACTCGCTCTAGTGCTCTCATAACTGTCCCTACTGTGTGATTATAAAGTAGCACGTAAGATGCTACATCATATTGTCATGGATCATACAGTGAATATTGCGATGTAAAATTTTTTTAAATTCGTATTCATGATAATTTAAGAAGAATGCAATTTAATACAAAAATTTCAGTAAAATTTTTCAAAAATAAATAAAACATAGCAGAGCAAAAAATAAGAGCACCTTCTTCAAAGCGAATTCATTAGAACAATTCTGCAGTGAACAAATGACAATGTCGCTGGCCTCTTCTTGCAATAGCCACGACCGAAATCGACCATAGATTGAAGTTGATCCGGACATCAAACCACTTTGGTCAAGACGGGAGTAATTGATGGTCTCATGGGAGGGAGCAAAGTTTTCGTTAGGAAAAGGATCACTGGGAGAACTAGCTGTCATGCTCATTCACTGGGTATAGGATTCAAGTCTAAAATGGAACTAAGAAAAATTGAGGTGAAGATGGAAAATACACAGCACTATCGGCACTCACTCTTGTTGAATAATTAAGGAAATGCGTGAGTTAATTGTATGAATTCATCCTGTAAGAATATCAGGGAATGCAACAGGAAAGTGGTTCAATTGTTCAAAGATGAGGGGGAAAGGGGAAAAGCACTTTCACAGCCTACTTAACGCATTAAACCATAACAAATCGAATTAACCTGTGGTCAAAGCAGGTTACAAGAGAAAACAGATGGTTTCAAAGAATCGTTAAGTGAAAGAGGAGATATGAATCTTAAAATTGGAATCCGACAGTTGATTTTGAGAGGTGCCAATAAAATCTTTATTACAGATATGTATCTTGAGCATGCCCAGATCTGATTCCTGGTGGGCAGATGAAAGACAACCTCTACACATGCTTATTGAAACAAACTAAGATGAATATACAAACGGGGAAGATAATTTCGGATGTTTTATCAATGGGAAGGTGAATTTTATGAAAGAGCAAGGATGTGTTGTTACCTTGGGTGTTTTTATGTGATCTGTTAGATCCATGGCAGAAGGAAATCAACTCTAACATCGAACAGACGGTGCACTTAGAGTTTAAGTGTTTCTAGCATTATGTTTCCAGAAACTGAAAGGATAAACTGGAATTCCTGGAGAAACAATGGAGTTCAGCTTACAATGCAAATAAAAGAGTGATAACGATTATTGGTTAAAAAATTGGCAAAAAAGCCGAGAAATGGCCGCTGGGCTTCGACGTGTTTTTTTTTTTTTATTAAAAAATTCTTGAATGGAAACAGCGTTGCCAGATTACAATAATAAACACTTTTCCGCTGAGTTTCCTTCTTTTTCTCCTCTCCACCTTATCACTAAAATTTGACCTACATTTTTATCAGGCTTTTGTGATTAATTTTACTATAAGTAAGTAAAGTTTTAATTGCTTTGATTTTCCCTCCATAATTTATGATTAGAAAGTAAAACCTCAAAAGCAAAAGTAGAAAGATTTTATTCCAAGATTTCAAGATTTCAAGGCAGCGCCGCAGCGCCTACAGATAGGCAATATGTTGAACAGCTCTTTTACGAGAGGTGACCCTTCTACTACAGTTTTCGTCGATTCCTCATTGTTTACAAAAGTTCGCTTGTGGAGGGAAATTTTCTTGTTCCTGATAATAGATTGTTTTTACCTTTATTTTCAGATTGCAGCGAAATAATTTTTGTTGCACGCTTTTCCTACGAATTTCCACCCTTTTTTATCAATCTTATTCAGTTCATTTGCGGTCTTAGTTTCTCCTGACACCTGCAAGATGCCGTGTGAAATGATAACACTGCAGCTCGGACAGTGCGGTAATCAGAGTAAGTTCACGTGCTCACGAAATATTTTCCTCTTCCCACTCTTTTAGAGACGAAAAATCATTTGATTTTGACTCTGATGGAATTATAAATCAAATTTTACGATTGACACTGCTTTATAGGGTTGCTCTTATCAACTGCTCTCTTAAATTTGAAGGTGTTCGTTACTGCAATGCAGCCAAATTTTCTTCAAGCTTTTCGAAGGATCTTTGAATTGCTGAAGGAAGGTAGAAGTCGAAACTTTGTAAAAATACACTAAGCTCATCATCTCAGCAAATGACATTTTGTTAATCAAAGGTAGAAGCTTCCTTCCCTTGAACAGTGAAGAGTTTCAGTTAGACACCGTAGCCCTTCGAGTCCATGACAAAAAGTTTACGCACTTCTAGACTGTGTCAGAAGATCGTCTGACATCATTTTCACATGTAAAATAAATGTAAGAAGCAAGATGGCAGATCTCCTGTTGCAGTTTGAAAGTGCGTAAACTGTTGTGGTGTGGAGTTTAAACGATTGTGAGAATATTTTTGCTGAAGAGAATTTTGAAAATGAAATCCAAAGTAATTCTGTCTAGAACTGAGGAAAGAGAAGAAGAGACCGAAGTCACATCAGTCTGGATGCATCAATCATCAGTTGGCCCATTGGTTAGCATGTTAATATCTGCTAAATGCTGCAATTTTTGGATGTGACGTTTGTCTCTTCTTTTCTTTCCCCAGTTCTAAGGATATGAATAATTATTAAAGTATGTATAAGTTTTTGAATTTTTTTTTAATGTATGCCGTGTTTCATGCACAGGTTATAAGTTGAATGAGGGCGCAAGTTATGTAACCGAAGCATGTCAGCACTTGCATAAGCAGGAAGCAATGGAACCTTGTTTTACTTTTTTAATTATTTTCGCTATGAATTTATATTCTTGAATTTTATTTTTCCAGTTGGCTTTGAGTTTTGGAAAAAGTTATGCGCAGAGCATGGGATCAATCCCGAAGGAGTGCTTGAGCCATTTGCAACAGAAGGCAATGATCGGAAAGATGTTTTCTTCTATCAGGTACCAAGCAACAACAGCTGATCATTGTCCTAATTTGGAGTTCGATAATATTTACTTTTGCATTCATCAGAATGTCTGCAGGTCTGAATATAACCAGGAAAAGTCATGGAATTTTATGAAAAAGATTAAAAATGTGAAATCTAGAGAATAAAGATCAAACAGTCTCCTTCTAGATTGGGGTTCAATCCTCTTAGTTTCTTTTTAAATATTGAGCATACCTAAATAAGTTTTAAGTGTCAACAAAATTTAAATTTTAGGTACTTAATTGTTTGATTATTACTCCAAGAGAAAAGGTTTACATTTTTCTTTTGTTTGAAGTGGAAATAATGTCAAAAATAGTCAGTTTTCAGCTCTGAGCATGCCAATTGTTGAAGTGAAAAGTCAGGGAATTCTGATTTTTCCGGTCAGAGGAAACCTGGAAAATTTAGAGCATCGGTAACCTCTTTTACTCATAATCTTTGATGATTTCATTCTTTAATTAGTTTTTCTTAAAGAAAAGAAAAAAATAAAATAAAATCAGAGATTTTTGTACGTTGAAAGTGAGATCCGCAATTTTTGCATTTATCCATGGAAGTGCTCGTTTCAAAATTATTTTTGATTTTCAGCAGGTAATCATAATGTGATAATTTTCTGCATTTAAATTTCAGAATTTTTGTATCAGTCTATTCTGTCTATATTTTGGAATACCTTTCGACTTTTCATGAAAACCTCAGGAAACTTGAAAAAGAACTTTAATATTCCTAATTTTGTTTTATAAGTCTCTCTGATTGTATGAATATCTAATATTCAATTGACTTCTTATTTTTTTAGGCAGATGATGAGCACTATATACCTAGAGCAGTTTTGCTTGATTTAGAACCAAGAGTAATTCACAGCATAATGAACTCACCGTATGCCAAGGTAAAAACTTTTGTTTTAAATAAGTTTGCAGATCACTCAAATCATTGATAAATTATCTCAGAAAATTTTATGATCAAGATTATTCCTCTTATTAAAAGCTTTAAGATCCTCTTAAAATAAACATTTTTAAGAAGTCCCCATATCTCTCAGAAAATTTTTTAAGTGCTGTCAAAGAAGATTGGATCGTGATAAAATCTCATGAAGCCAATCAAAATTTAACCTTATACCGTATGTGAAATTTTATTGAAAGTTTCGCCAGTGCTCTTTTTTTTTTTTTTTTTTTTTTTTTTTTTTTTGGATAAATATAAAAAAAAGCTGAGTTTTATGCTTTGCAGCAAACATGAAGCATAGCAAACTCTTTGGGCACATTTTTAGACATGAAATAATGATAAACCGTTATCTTTTGTCAAGAACTGAGCAATGGAAATGCTGGGAAGATTAAAGACTTGTGAGCATTCCTAAGTAGGGAAGGAAAATAGTAAGCTCTTGGCTGACTTTAAAATAATTCTCTGTATTCTCCAGTTCCTTAAGTCTAGATAGCTAATTTAAAGGAACTGTTCAATTTTATCAAACTCTTATCCTCCAATTGGTTTAGGTATGAAAATCTCTTAAGTCCCAGACTTCCTTGGATTCTATGGTTCAAGAGGTTGATGTGTAAATGCCGACTTGAAACTAATAAACTCCAAGCACAAAAGCTCTCAAGCTCTGATCAAAAGTGAAGTCTTAAATATAATGTCAGGTCTTTAATGTTGAATGTTTTTAATCAAGAAATGTGTAAATCGATTCCGCAGCTATACAATCCAGAGAACATATACTTATCAAAGCACGGAGGTGGTGCTGGCAACAACTGGGCATCTGGCTATAGCCAAGGAGGACGTCTCCAGGAAGAGATTTTGGATATCATTGATCGTGAGGTCGAAGGAAGCGACAGTTTGCAAGGGTTTGTTTTGTGCCATTCCATCGCTGGTGGAACTGGATCAGGAATGGGGTCATTCATCCTAGAAAAATTGAATGACAGGTTTCCCAAGAAGTTGGTTCAGACGTACAGTGTGTTTCCAAATCAGGATGAAATTAGGTAAGGGAAATTGTATGTATTTTACAAATGTGTTCTAGCATCTTGCTTTGCTTTGATGTAGGTACATATAAACTTAATAAGTCATGAATGAAGAGGAATGCATGACAAGCCCTTTAGAAAATTTTGAACTTCAATCGTAAAACTACTTAAAACTACTTAGGTATTTTTAAAAGAATCCTGCACACCAATGGGGGCTCACTAGCTCTCAGTACATTTAGATGAATTTTCAGTAGGTCACCATAAAACTCATCGTCAGACCGAAATTAAAAAATTATGTGATCTGGTCGAGTAGGAGCTGAGATGTTCGCTATTGAACATGGTAATTGTTTTGCGTTCTTGTCCGGACCAGTTAGGTGCATCTAGGCTTGGCTGGTAAAAAAATCCTTCCCCCTTCCCTGCATCTGTCAATTCTATTTCAGATTTGACCGCTGCAAGGAACTTTTTTATTTTGAAATGAATGCTGTCGCACTGCATGTCATTCTCAATCCTGTTCTATCCTGCCATCCTCCCTGATTTAGCCTTTTTCTCTTTCAACCAACGTGTTCAATTGCAAATATCTCAGCTTCCATTTGACGGAATAACATAATTTTTGGCTTTGGCAAAGTTCCATCAGAATTTACCAAGAGCAAGTAAGCCTGCACTGACGTGGGAGGCTGTTTGTTGTACTTACTTTCAATAAACATAAACATTCAGCTGAGGGCTTTAAGTATTTTTTAGGCTTTGAGTTTTCGACCTGGAACATTTTTGCTGGCCAAATTTGAAGGTATAAATACAGTAAATTCACCTTTTGCAACAAAATAAATATTAATTGAAGGGAACTCAGGAGAGGCATAGCAAAAAATTAGTTGCATTTTCAGCCTTCAAACCTCACTGGCAGAACAGTTCCTCATTCTACCAAAATGTCAAAAGTATTCAAAGAGTGGACCTCTATGTTCTTTTCTTATCCCCCCCCCCCAAAAAAAAAAACCCTGTCATGGAAAATATTGTCTTGAGCTTCCTAAGTTCCTCACGCCACATGCCAGTGTGCATTTTCCTTACATCTGTTTTCAAGCCTGAGTATTATCAGTACAACAATCTCAATGTTTTTTTTTTTTTTTTTTTTTTGCAGTGATGTAGTTGTCCAGCCATATAACTCATTGTTGACTCTGAAACGGTTAACCCAGTGTGCAGACTGTGTGGTAGTCCTTGACAACACAGCATTGAACAGGATAGCCAGTGATAGACTTCATATTCAGAACCCATCTTTTGCTCAGATCAACAGCCTTGTCTCCACCATAATGTCCGTCTCAACAACCACACTCAGGTCTGCATCAAGCTTCCTCAGTTTATCTGAATGTTTTGTTAGATCCTCCATCCCCCTGAAAATTTTAACTACCGTTCCATGAAACAGAAAAGCTTGTGTTGCAGGGAGGTTGAATATTTTAAAATTTCAAATTCAATTTCCTTCCGCTATGTAATCAGCAAAAAGTGTGATTTTGAAGAATACCTTAAGGTTTTATTTCTAGATTTTCTCAAATCGATGCTGCTTATTGAAATTCATGTCAATAAATATGATTTTCAAATATTTCTCCTGCTTGGAGTATGGTGCATTTTGAAGTGGAGTACTTGTGGTTTCTGTATTGCAATCATCTGTGCTTTTGGAAGCCTGTGAAACTCTAGGGGGTAACTCCCATTTCTTCATTATACTATGAGGGCCTTGCAAAGAAAACCAAAAAAGATGATAGTTAACTTCTATGATTTTTTAATTTAATGTCTTTCACTACCCTTTGAGCAAGATGAGCTCATATAATCGAACTTTCTTTATGTTGATGTCGAAAATAATGGGGATAAAAAGTGAAGTTTTAGGCATTTTCATTCCTGCTTTCCCTCAGAGACATGGCACTGCTGCTGTGTCTAATATGTGGTGCCTTTTGCTTTATAGATATTGATGCGGCATAGTATATCTTTTCTTTCTGGCCAACGCTAGCGAAAAAAGAAGTTCTTTATGACCACTATTTCTTTCAAATACTGTTTGTGCAAGGCAGAAACATTCACATTTCTGCTGTGCTTTTCCCAAGATTTACCCAAAAGTGCATAATGCTCAAGAGTTGGCAAAGCTTATCATGTCAAATAATAACGGAATTTATCTGGCGCTGAATCGTTTGATATCCTGTGCAGAGTTCTTTGTTATGGATGCTAGGAATCGTTTTCAAATTAATTATTTGTCCTCAATTTATGTATATTAATGTGGGGCATTTTTTACAGGTATCCATCATACATGAATAACGATCTGATAGGACTGATTGCACCTCTAGTGCCTACTCCAAAGTTACATTTCTTGATGACTGGTTATACACCTTTAGCAGCTGACCACGAGGTTTGCATATCTTTGCTATTTCAATATTCTGCGACAACTCATTTGTGAATGTCTCAATTTGTCCCATCAATCAAATAGTATGTATATAGTCAAGGAGGGAACGTACAAATGAAAATGAAATTAAAAAGATCAAATTGTAATTATTATGATCAACTCAATCAGGTCCGTGCATCTGGATCCTGATTGACAACCTCTTTCATGTTTTTTCTATTTCCGATTTCTCTGTAACATTATAAAAAAGGTACTATCTGCTCTCAACTTACTTTGTGTCTCTCTCAATTTGGTGAGGATTTCTACTTCAATACTTCATATTTGTCTGATTGGAGGGTAGAGAATCTTTCAATGGAAGACGTGTAATTGATAATGTTTTCAGAGAAGAAACTTAAATACCAAAAGATAAAAAAAAAAAAAAAAATAGCAGAGAGAACTTCAGCCTGTGTCATTCAAGAAAGCGCTAACAACTGCCAAGTGTCTTTTTTTCTTAATTCGAATCTCTAGAAATGGCGTCCATAGATTAACAAAAGTCGAAATAATCGAAAGAAAACAAATTTAATAGGACTTTTCGATTGAAAGCAGGGATGGTCGGGAAATTAAAAAACTTCGGAGTTAGGGAAAAACAAATAAGTCAGGGAATTAGAAAAGGAAGAAAAAATGTAAGCCTTGTTTCATCATAATAGTACATTTTGCATGACAGTCGTACATTTTGCATGACAGTCCATACGAAGAGGAAGTCCCGCTGCATTTTTCCCCTCAACTTGGTATCCCTGTAGCTCTGAGGGATTTGTTGTTTGGCCCCATTTATACAAGAATTTAACATTCTTGAATGAATTCAAGAATTGCTGATCAAATTTTTTGACAATTCAAGGACTCTTTACCCGTAGAGTAAAAAATGAAAAAGTGTAGCTGCAGATATTATTCATCCTGTTTTCTTCACAGGCAACCTCTATCCGAAAAACAACTGTACTAGATGTCATGATGAGGCTATTGCAACCTAAAAATATGATGGTTTCAACTGCCCATGATCGCAGTGCAGCCCACTGTTATATTTCAATTCTTAATATAATTCAGGTAAGATTGTTTTTCTGTTGCTCTTTAAATTTTAGAAGGTGCTCCATAGTGTGAAGTCCCTGCTCAGAATTATTGTCTTAAATAATGTCTTGAATGTTCTATTCAATTGAAGTAGAAATTAAGGAAACAATTATTAAACCTCATTTTTTAATTGCATGCTGGTTCAACAAAAATTTGTCTCCTCACTCGAAAGCTGTCCCAGGCAATGCACCAAGCCAGTTCCAAGGAAAAATGCTTTTACATTTTTAGTGTATTAACTATTAAGTAAACCATCAAGAGGAAAATTTGTACAAAATTTACAGCTCGCACAGAGGATGTGAATGTTTGTACAGTGAAATTTTGCTAGGTCACATTGTCAAGGGAAAACTTTTGACCAGAGCGGCTTTTCATCTCATCCATTTTACCGCTTAGCACAAAATAAATTTGAAAATTCTAGACAAGCAATCTCAAATTGCTTATAAGTGATTGTTTTGGCAACTTTTCCAAATTTTTCAATGATTGGTCCATTTCATCAAATAATATCATCGAAAGTCAATGTATCTTTGAAATCTTGTTTTTTAGGGTGAGGTAGATCCATCGCAAGTTCACAAATCATTGCAACGAATTCGAGAGCGCAAATTGGTAAATTTCATCCCTTGGGGTCCAGCAAGTATCCAAGTAGCTCTGTCTAAGAAGTCACCCTATGTTACCACTGCTCACAGAGTTTCCGGTTTGATGTTAGCCAATCACACAAATATTTCCTCGGTAATTTTTTTCACACTTAATTTTCTCCATTACCTTGCATTTTTGAGGATTCTGTTCAGTCTGTAAAAGCTTGAGAATTTTTTGAGCAGAGCATATTAAAACTATGTTTGTGGATTCAGAAAAGAGCTCTAAGTCAGGGGACGTATCACGTATTTTGAAAATCTAAAAAACCTGCCAAAATTGGGCAGTCAGAAGTAATCTCAAAATAAATGGAAAACCTTGGGAATGTAGGGTAAAATCGGGAATTGCACTGTAAAAATTTCTCTTATTAATGGTTTATGACCTGTTTTGCTCAAAGTAAACGATTTCATCTGCCATTAATCGTAAGCCATTTAAAAAAAATTAGACATTTGAATGTAATTTAGTTGACCTTCAACCAATTTGATTGATCCAGTTTGCGCTGAACTGCTGTCCAGATGATTGGCGCCGACTGAATATCTAGATGTATTTTTAGAAGCGACAGAGTCTCTATTTCATTTTCTACATGATTCATTCAAAAGTTTATGCCATTCAACATTCAATTTTATGCCAAAAAACACCATTGGAAGGAAGCTGTATTGACACTTTGAAATGAAATTTCTTTCACGAATTTAGACTAAAAATCATGTATCATTTTTAGCTCTTAAAATAAAATGCAGCTTAACTGCTTCTTGTAAAAAAAATATGCATTCTAAGAGAGATAATATACTTTAATTTGAGTATCAAAAATTGTGGATGTAAGATTACTCTCTCTACTTACGATAACTCTAGAGCAATTTTTTTTTCTCTTTGCCTTTCAGTTATTTGATAGAGCCCTGGTCCAGTTTGACAAACTACGCAAACGAGAGGCATTTCTTGAACAATTCAGGAAGGAAGCTATGTTTCTAGAAAACTTAGATGAGTTAGATACCTCGCGTGACATCGTTCAAGAACTCGTGGAGGAATATCAAGCTGCCACCAGGCCGGACTATCTCCAGTGGGGCGCAGGAGCAGGACACGTCCAGTAATCTAGTCTCTTTTGCAAACTGTCATTCTACATGTCTCTCTGCCAGGTTTGATCTGAGTTCCTTGCTAAGTTTTAATTTTAATTTCGTCACATCTTCAATCAAAGAATACTCACCAAGAGTGTTAAAGGAAAAACGTGCATCGTTATTGCAGTTTTTCAGAATTTTTACATCTATTTAATTTTATACGCAGCAAACAATCAGAGTTTTCACCCTGCATCTTCTGAAAATAATCTTGAAGGAGCAAAGGATTGATACAGATTGCCCCAACAGATGTGGTTAAAATTTTCTGTAAGAAAATAAAGAATGGCAGGAAGTGTGCAAGAGTTTAAAACCAAATACGTACTTTTTTACTCCCTAATGCATCATTCCTCCATACTCTTTTGCATCCACTGTACAATAAACTCAATGATCAAAGAAGTGCTAAAACAGTTTTTGCTTGAATTGGCTTCTATTGTTTGGAGGTCTCTGTAGTTTATTGTATTTTAGTTTTTGTTGTAATAACATCACCAGGATTTTTGATATATTTGTCAATCTATTTATCTAAATATTCACCTCAGATTTTCTTGCATTAAAGCTTACAAGTTTTGGGACCGTTCACGTACTATGTAAGGCATTTTGGCAAACTATTTGATCATCCCTCCCTCCCGCATGGCACCGGTAAAAAAATTCTCACCTTCCCTCTCTCGAAATACACCAGATCGGTCAGATTCTCCCCTCCCCCTCCATTTTTTAGGAAATAATGGAGAAAGTCTGAAAAATAGCTGGAAAAATTATTTGTATTGGATAATATTATCTTTTTTTGAGGTGAGAGGCTCATGTAAGACAGAGCTTGTCCATCCCTCTCGCCTTGCAAGACTCCATTAGGAGAGCTATGACCCCCTTCCTCTAAGCAGTTTACGCAGTCTTTGAACGACCACTTTCAAATAGGGGGAATGTAATAATCAAAACTTTGTTGCCCTCATTTTTTCCGGGGGTCCACTTTTTTTCTCAAAAAGCCAACCACAATCCCGGAGAAATGCCTATAAGAACCAGAGCTTGCGCTCAGCCTCTTTGCATCACAAGTACGACTGTTCAAATCATGTGAAGTACAGAGCAGAACATTGAGGTTAAATTTTTCTGAAAGGGGAGGGGTATTAATGGACCCTTCAAAAGAGGGACGAGCTTACAAGGACAATGCTTCCTCTCTAATAACTTTTTATTGATGAAAGCTGTTGAGGGGCAAATCATGAAAGGTTAGGCAATAAATTGATGACGGATACTCCAAATTTACGTGTCTGCATGTCATGATTTCCGACACAGTCAATTATATCCCACTTTATGATCAAATGTTAAATTATTTTTTTTTTTTGAGACCTGCAGGCCTTAGAAGTTTTTTATATCTTTTCTAACAGCATGTGATCTGCCCTAAAATGTAAGGATAATTAATTAGCGTGCTTTTATTTAAGGAGTGTTTAGTAAGTAATTGAAGGATGACTGCTTTTAAACCTTTGTGCTATCTGGAGATGTATGATTATCATAGTCTTATCCAAGATGATTGTTGCAAGTCTTTCAAAGTATTTCAGCTCTCTTCCTCTCTCCCTCTTTCTTCAATTCTTTATTTTTTTCAACTAAAGTTTTTTTTTTTGATCAAATTAAGACTGATATTTATAAACTCTTAATTGAACGAACATTTTACCACAGTTAGATTAGGAAGATTTATTTTTTAACTCGCTTGAAGTATTCATTGTGTGAAGGGTCTACTTTTTCTCTCTCTACTTTTTTAATTTTTTCACCAAATCAAACATGTTAATGATAACATTACTATGGAGGGAAAGATTTCCAAAGTTACCAAAGTAAAACCACAATTTTGAGTACCCATTTGTTTAATTTTTCACTCTGTTACTCGTGAAACAAACAAAAAATCATCAGCGAGTCTTTGACAGGCCCCTTCAGTTGTTACAGTTGAGAGTAGGATTCAAAATTGCATTCAGATACTTTTAGTCCAATTTTCAATCTTTTTGCAAACACGTTGATTTTAAAGGATTCCAGTTAGAACTGTTGGTTTAACAATGTCATTACGAACAATTTTTAAGGCACTAAACATTTTTTCTAGCATTAAATTTTTCTCTTTAATTTTATTGGGATGATTCTAAAATAGCAATAATACTAATAAGACTATAAGATTTAGTGATTCTACCCAAATTTTAATAGATTTTAACATAAATTCTTTTCAGTCTGTTCAACAAAATTTGACTCTCGCACTTTTCTTGTTACAGTAAATTGTATCCCCGAATATGTTTTCATTATGCTCAGCTTGAGTATAAAAAATTTCTGTGAATTACATTAGAGTCTATAACAGCATGTAGAACATACTTAATTTTTTATCAAGAAATGTCTCCACCTTATGTCATATTAAAAAAACTCAGTATGAAATAAATTGTCGATACTACAAGTAATTATGATTACTCTTCATATCTTCCAGCTTTCAAAATTTTCAGCAACATTTAATTTCAACTTGATTGGTAGCATTTCTGCAAAATATTCCTCTTTATCTCCTTTTTGTATGTGTTACCAATGGTTTCAGTTTACATAACAGTGTTCAAATCTTACTGACAAATTTTGCAGCTAATTTATCCAGGTTGATCAATATTTCAAGGCCAAAATGGTTTTTTTTTTTTTTTTTTTTTTTTTTTTTTTTTTTAATAATTGAGAACTGGATGTCTCTTGGCACTTTAGCATTGGACTCTTTCGAAATGATTACATATTTTGCTATTTTTTTCTTACTCAATTAACTTAATAACTCTCCCTTTTTAAAGGGTTCCCAATAGATAATAGTATCAATCAAAAAAGTTTTTTCAGGTTCCTGTGTTGTATAGATAGCTGACCGCGAATATTCAGGTGCAAACTTTGGCATTTCTATAATTTAGGTGCCAATGAGAAATATTTAGGCGCGTTTGCGTATGGTGCCTGTCATACTCGAATACTGCCGCTTAATTCTGAAGATTCTGATTCGAAATGAACGTACCGATGAAATCTTTTTAATCAACCAGTCTTTAAGAAATAATTGCCTTTTGCAACAAGGCAGGTGTGTCTGTGTAATAATGCGTTCGTCAAAGGTTTCCCATCAATTAGCAACTTTTTTTCTAAATCCCAAGAATTAGGATCAAGTCGCTTGACTCTATGAAAATTGTTGTCAAATTATATCATGAGTTCTCTAAATCAGCTGATTACTAACAACTAGGTGCGACTGATTTTCCTGAATCTGAAGGAATTCTTGATTGTCGGTGGATAGTTTCATATTCATTAATAGTAACAGAGCCAACGCATGCTACCTTGTGTTCTCATGCTCTTTTCTCTTAGCTTTTTTCACCATGATTTTTTATCGTGCCAAGATTTGTGTCCTATTTTACCATCTTTGGAGTTGTTGCCTTGTAGAGCGCAAATTGGCAAAATTTTGTATGGATGAATCCAGGAACTTATAAAATATTCCGCCACATTGGCAATATCATTTATCAATCTCTTCCTTTTCAGCGCTAGGATGATCCATCACCTGCTCCATCTATTCCTCTCCAGAGTAGCTACTCTCTATTCTCGTATTTTAGGTATTATATTTTCAAGGTCAGCAATTTGTCTTCTAGGCAATTTTTCTCGCCTGAGGTGAACTAAATGCAAATCACCTGTCACTTCTTCCTGAACATCACTTTTTGTCTTTTCAATATCCTCTATTTCACTTCCATGATTTTTAGGGTTGAAAAGAAATTGATCTTTTTTGCCAAATTCTATCTAAATTTGGTGCAAATTTTGGATAGTATCCTTTGCCCTAGTTCAATATGCAGGACCTGATTTTATAATTGTGTACTACTAATGAAGAGAAAAATAACAACTCAGTCTTTTAAAGTTCCTGGTATGGTTCTTATCGCTTCTCCTTTTTTTTCTAATTGGTTTCTACTTTGAACCTGAGTGATAGAATTTGAATTTGAGGTGTAATTGCGTCAAATCATGAATTGTTTTTTATGGTTTGAAAATCGTTCGTTTGTTTAATCATATCGTTTTGTAAATAACATTGCTCAATAAGTCAAAAACAAAAGTTTAATCGTTTTTCGTTTTTCAGTTAAAGTGCTCAGTTAATTTTGCAGTACCAATTCAAGTTAAATCCTCAATACCATTCTTCTCTACAGGTTTATCATAGCTTTTTGTTTGGTCTGATGTTGCAGACTTATTTTCTGATCCATGAGCAATTTTTGGATTTTGATATTTTTCAGTAGTTTTTTAAAGTATACTTGCTATTATGCTCTATTATGCTTACAAATGAAAAATAAAATGATAGGAATAATTTTTCCTCCTTTCACGTGTGCTCTTCAATTAGAAAAATAGTTATAAATTTCGCCAATGAAATGCTGCTGCTTGAAATTGAATTCTATTTAATCAGCTGAAACATATTCATGAAGAGAGGAAAAAGATGTCAAGATCATCTCAGCTCATTCTAAGGATTGCTATGTGTCCAATCATATTAATTTAAAATGTTCTTGTAATACATCTTAAGGAGAAATTAATGTAGGAGTCTAGGTAACGATTCAAATAACTTAGTTTTTATTAAATTTTCATTACATATTTACATAACTATTTTTAAAGTCTTTTGTGTCAGTACAAACATTTCAAAATTGTTCCAACAATAAGTTATACTAAAATCAAGTCTCTTAAATATTTTAACAGTATGTACAAAATTTACAGATTTGTCTTTCACAGCCTTTTTTCCCTACTTTAAATTTAATTCTTTGGTTTCTTACAAACGGGTTTAGAGCCATTGTGTCAGTTATGGCCCATACTTTTTTTGCTACCAGTATGGTTTTTCCCCTATTCAAAATAAATTTTTGTACTTTCTAAATTGTTAATATCAGAAGACAAAAATTCGTTTCTAAAAATTCAACAATAAAATTTTACCACTTAATCCTTGTAATTCAACTGATTGACCTCTTTCTTTACGTATTTTACTGTTACTTAAAAAATTCTTCATTTACACAAGCACCTATTCGATGATCTTGAGATTTTAGTCTTTCAAGAAAAAGTGAAAGAATAAGAAGAAAAAGAAAATAACCCTTCAAAATAAAACTTTCACCCTTTGAAAAAAAAGAGGTCAATGAGGCTAAAAACATTTTTAGGATTAGCGAAGAATTTTGTGTTCTGGAAATCATAATTATACTGACATTTTAGACCATAATACTACAGTTAAATATGGTCTAAAACATTGAGAAAAAGGAACTTATCACTCAAAGGGGATCACCCAAACAGAATATATAGATACTTAAAAATTTGTGACGCAATTGTACACATCCTGTTCCTTTTTATATGAACTGTGCAGTTCAGTAATACACACAAGTTCAACTCATTTTTTTTCCTTTTAAGGGTGATTTAAACTTTGTCAATTTTCAGTGCATGAACATGTGAAAATTGAGTCACAAATCTCTAACCATCATAATTTATCTTGTTTGTATGTTTGAATTTAGTTTTTTTCCTTTATCAAATTTTTCTAATCCTATTGTCAGCTACCAATGTCACATCTCACATTCGTTATCTTGAACACGTAAATTTGAAATCTAAAGAATATTCAGTCTGTAATTTTAAAAATACCTAATTTCAATTTAAATAAACTTCCTAATTTTGTACACATAAATAAATTGACTGACATAAATAATTAAACCATCAGAACTGTTCAAACTTTACGAGATTCAAATCTCAGGTTGAAAGTTTTGTACGGTAGTGCTAGATTTGTGATGGGAACTTTGTAGCTTTCACCTGAGACAGGGTGTATGTTAAATCGTTGACAGATTGTTGCCAGAGTGCCAAAACAGACGAATTGTACTATTTTGTAGCCCATGCAGGATCGGCGACCACAGCTAAAAGGTAGGAAGAACTCAGGTTTGAGGAGTCTGCCTTCAGGTGAGATGAATCTTTCTGGACGGAATTCCTCCGGTGAATCCCACAGTTTCGGATTCATGTTAAGGTCGTAGTTATTTAGGAAGATCATAGAGCCTTTCTCAACTTTGAATCCTGAAACAGAAAAAAAACAATGGGGCTTAGTAACTTGCTGCTGATTTTCCTAAGAAAGAATGAAAAAATGAAAGAGTGAAGACAATTTTTGGATTTTCCATAATAATCATTGAGGCTTGATAGCGGAACTCTCAAAAAAGGGAATCCAGCAGAGTACATAATTTAAGTCGCCTGGACAGATCATTTTAAGAGAACTAGAAGTCCCTGAAATAGATGTTGTTTTTTACTCTTCTTGCAACACCATCAAGGTTTGTCTTGATTCAGTAATGTAAATATTTTTTTTCACTTTTTATTCAGTTATTTTTTCCCTTTTATATTCTTGCATTCTGACTTACGATTCATAGATTTTACTGTTTTTCAATGAATTGAAATTACTATTTGAATTCGTATTTTTAAATGATTCTCAAATTACCTGAGATAATTCCATCCTGACTGGCGACGTGTGGTACAATTGGAGAGGCAATGATTCTGACAGCCTCCAAGATGACAGCTTCAGTGTAAGGCATGAAGGTCCTATCAGCCAAAGAAATCTCCCGTCCGTTTTCTGTCACAGCATCAACTTCCTCCTGTATTTTTCTCTGGACATCTGGTCTTGTAACAACGTACGACAGGACTTTTAATAAGAAATTAGCTACTGCTCCGTGTCCTCCAATAATGTCCTCCAGTGCAAACAATGCAGAATCCATCGACAGTTTGGGCTCAACTTCGCTTTTAACGTGTTCAATTAATGAGTCAACGTAATCCAGCTGTGTTTGACCTGGAGTCCATGCTGCAAGCTTATCGGCGAGGATTTCCTTGACAACAAAGTCTCTCACTTTGTGTGCATGTTCTGTCATACGAGAGATCTTAGACGTATGTAGTGGCATGAGCCAGGGAAGGAAATCAGCAGCGTAACCTTGGTTGACTTCATAAAAGATCTCATCATAGCTTTCAAGAATCTCTGCGTAGCGAGGGTGGTCACGTTCAAATCGATGACCGGTGAAGTAGGAGGTGAAGATGTTTGCGCAAGAGTGGAGCAGAAGAGGTTTGAGAGCAACAGGACTTCCTTCATTAGTTTTCAAAACATCAGTTAGGTCATTAAGCTCGATGTTCATGTAGGTGTCAAGTTCGTGGAAGCGGGCAGAGAAAGCTCGGGGGAAGGTGTGAGCTCTAAGCATTTCGCGCTTGACTTTTTGAGCGTCGGACCAGTCGCTGAAGGCAAGTGCTGTAACAATCAGAAAGAGAATCGAAAATTAGAATCTGTCACTGAACATCGATTTTCAGTTATATATTTCTCTCGAAAAATTCCATTAGTTTCTTGTTTTTTTCATCTCTCTTTCAATTTTATTTTCTTTTAATAATTTCTAATCAGCAACTATACTTAAAGAATTCCTAATTATCATCGATAAATGACATTTTCTTTCTGTAGATTCAAAAATTTCATCAGCTTTGAGAACATTTTTATTTTTTTTTTTTCTAACTAGGTACCTACATATTTTAAAAAAACTTGCAGCTTCTTATTGAAGTTACAACCCAGTCCTATAGAATCATCCTGTGAATTTTTCCTCCTTAAAATAATGTGTTTATAAACCCCCCTTATATACTCAAAATTATTTGTTTCTTTACGTTCTAAGTACATTCTTAGATACTAGATGAGGGAAAGCATTAAAATTAACTACTTTTTATTCTCCAATGTTGTGCGATAATTTGTGCCCTTGAGTTAGTCAATTTTACTGATAATAGATATTATTTATTATATTCCTTAAAATAGAGTATCACTCAACTATTTAAGAAGTAAACTAAGAAGTGAGCTCTATCTAAAATTTTCGAGTATTCAACCATAATTTCATTAAATTTTTAAGTCCTTAATGGAATTTACTCGCTTAACATCAAAATTTGGTATAATATAATTGTTGTTCTCTTCTTCATAGGTAACTGCCAATAAAATCGAAATTGGAAATGTAAATGTAAAATGATTGAAACCCAGTGAGATATAAGCCATTAGGTTTGATTGATGACTCCTAAATTTTTGAACAAATTCAATTTTCAGAAATTTTTACACGCTTAAAAAGTTTATTGAAAATTTGAATCACTATTTATTCGAGATATTGTGTATTGTTGTGTTAATACTTTATGCTTTGACTTTTTGTCATTTATGGGGCAATATTTTCACTTTATGATACAGAGAAGAAATTGTGTGAAGTACTTACAGTTAGCTTTGTCTCCAGCAAACAAATCGTTGTATCGCTTGAAGTTGGGCCTGGCGTCGAAGAATTGAGCCTTTGACATGAGCACTTCACGAATGTTATCCAATCCATTTACAACAACGCATGGCAGATTTCCGAGTTGTAACTTGTAGACTTGCCCATATTTCTCAGCAAGTGCACCGAAAGCTTTGTATGGGACGTCGTAGCTGCCCATCAAATGTAGTGATCCGATTATTGGCCATGGGGTTGGCCCCGGTAGCTCGAGCCCTGTAGACGCACTGAACTTAGCTTTGCTTTTTCGTCGCGAATCGAGAAGCAGCAACAAAAACGCGGCAATCGAACATATAAGCAGGTAATACGTAGTCGAACTCACGAATAACAGAACTTCCATGGTTAATAAATAATATGGAAGAAAACTAACGAATATCACACTGGTTAACAATGGGAAAAAACTAACGTGGAAATTTATCTAAGATTTTATACGACCAGCAAGCGGTTTACTGGCGGGTTGGAAACAATGCAAAGACGTGATCAGAACAGAGGAGTGTCCTGAGCGGTGTCTTTACTTCCAATGGCTCGAGTCTCGTAGACAGCAGCTTTATATATGCGCACAGCAACTGATTACTTATTCGATATTCACTGCAGTCAGCTCAGCACTGATATAATTTTTTCGGGTCCAACCATTTATATACGCTTTTTGGTCCGTCTGTCTCTCTCCTTTCATTAAGTCTGGATTAATCTGTTATGTTGGGCTTGTCTATGCTGTGTGTAAACAATCAGTTGTAGGTCATTCATTATGTCTTGTGGCCCAGCGCTTGTGTCTTGTTTTCTCCGAATTGGAACCGTTAGTTCTTTCCCAGTGATTTATCACTTTGTTTTCCCATGACTCATAGCACGCATAGATGTTTTTCTCACCCTTCATTAATGGGCAAGGATGTTACAATTTTCAAAGTTATTAAATTACATCTTTTTTTTGCCCTTTTTCTAAGGAACCCCTCTAAAATGTCTCCCCATATTTCATGAAAGTGTTCATGTTGATTGGGATTGATCCTTTGATTATTTTCTCCATGTAAATGTTGGAAAATTTGACATGTTTGTAAAAAGTAAATATTTTTTCCATTTTTTAATCTGGCTTTAGAATTTTACCTTAAGAAATGTTCTCACCATCCATTAATAGAAAATAAGAATATGTCCTTGAAAAGAGGGAGAATCTATTTAAAAGAAGAAAGAAAACAAATTCAACCATCCAGTTATATCCTCATGTTAGCTCCTCAAAAAAAGTCTAATTCTTTCTTTACCATTCTAAGCTTCCTTGTTACACTAAGTACCGTTTACTTTCTATCACCAAGTATCACTTTTACCTAACTTTTGATGAATACGTCAGTGTTATTTTACAAACATTCTCCATGGCTGCATTTTTGTCGTATGTGGTATTATTATTATTTTTCTTTTTATAATTTTCATTCCATTGAAAATTTTCGTGAATCTTCAATCATCAAATCCTCTTGTTTCAGCCGACACTGGCTTACTGTTGTCTTTACTAGATGCCTCCTCATTATGGAATTGAAGAGGAGGAGGGAGGCTAGATTTTCTTCATTTTACACCCAGAAGATTTTAGTGATTGAACTGATTCATGAAGGGCTCTTTTGATTTGAGAACTGCGCGAGAGTTCGGGGATTCGGGATTCATATTTTTATAGTGAAGAGTTTTAGACTCTAAATGACCAGAATCACTGAAGAATTCTAATGCCACTTGATTTTACAAGAAAACCGATCTCAAGTCCTCAATTTATCATTTCATCAAAAAGCAATGCAAACAAAATAAAAGTACCTATAGATAGAGGTTCGGTGCAGACGAAACAACATTAAGGGGCTTTGTTTTAGAGGTGCACTATAAAATTTTCTCTCTTCGTTTTTGAAAATTAAGTTTGTCTGACTCTGCAAAATAATGTCCAGATGTCATACACTTAGTTAAGTCAATTTGACTCTCAGCGTCAGCTTCAGCTGCTTTTTTGAACTATTCTTTAAATGTTTTCAAAATTTTCTCCATCTATGGTGAACATGATTTCTACCAATTATAACTGTTTTCATAGGTCAAATAATTTGTTTCCTTTCACGCAGCATGGGTACCTAAGTAATGTTCAAGCAAAGGGATAAATTTAATTTGCAAATCTCTCTACCATCCATCTGTAAAAGTTTTTATTTTTGGAAAAAGAGACAAATACCTAGTTCTCAGTCCTGTCAGTTATATTCCAATTCTCATGCAGTTGTAGATTTATTTCATTTCGATAAAACATTGGCAAATGTTCCATATTGATCTACATGAAGATTTTCCAACTTCCAGCTTTTAAGTATTTCCAACAGAATTGACTGAAGTTCAACTGTAGCAGAGGAAGCAAGGAAAAAGAGAACCGAAACGCGAAGAAAATTACGACTTGGAAGTTTATTCATTGTCGAAAACCATCATATTATGTAGATAGGGAAAGGTGAAGTGTCTTCTATCCTTCCAGGCCCAAGCCAGTAGCCGGGCTTCTCATGACTCAAATGTATTCAACCTCAATACCTCATCTCATGCATACTGAAGAGCAGGATTTTCAAGGCCCCTGTATTTTCGATGATAGGCCACTTTCCCTACTTTAGCTGCCAATTATGAAGCAAAAACAATCAGTCAAAGCATCTCTCACACATCACGCATTTACGATTTTTTCTCCTCTCCCTGCCACCTTTTCTTACACTCTCACTTTTTACCGTGGGTCCTTATCGTTTCATACCACTACCACTCATCTGCTTTCTTATCTGTTTTTTTCATCTTATAGCTTCGATTTTTCTGAATATATTAGCCTGGTTCAGAGTCAGTCGTGTTGCCAAGTGTATGTAGCACTGCTCTGATTTTGATCCTCTAGATGCTCTCTTTCTTCTTCGCTTTTTCAATACGTTTCCAACTCTTTCTAAAATGAGGTAGTGTACCTGAATGGAAATTTCATACATTTTGGTCTTTAGTTAAGTAATTACATATCATTGTTGTTTGGAGTTTTAATTTTGCTTGGTGAATCAGAATATCTCGAAGACGATGAGATCAAACCAACAAAAATATGTATCCGCCCTGGGAAGATAACTTGGTGTCAGAACAACTTCTTCAATTTCTACCATTCAGTTCTACAGCCTGGAGATGTTAATTAGACGTTATTTTACCGAATAAGGTAAATTAAGTACGTTCAATTAGTAAGGATTTGAAATCTAATCATTGCAAGTAAACTTATAACCAAAAGAAGTCAATATATACATATTGTTGGAAATTGAAATTAATTGATATATAGTTGACACAAAATAGAAAAAGCTAATAATTTCCAAGTGTCTCGATGACCAATGTGCGGAAGCTCGTATTTCCTTTGCGGTGTTTCTCAATGTCTACTCCTATTTAATTTTTTCAAGGAGGAACAACCCAACTTCATCGCTTGAAATTTATACAGAACATTCTTGTCACCTAGAGAAGGAATCAAGGAAGTTTTCAGGAAATGGCGTTAACTAGTTTCCCACAGGAAAAAATGAAATATTGCAGGAAATCTGCAACGTCGCAAATGGATAAACATGGTTTTGCACGTTGCCCATCAATCTGCCCCCCTTCTATTCAGACGTCGCGCCGTGCCAGCCGCTTTCTTCGTAGCCGTCGCGAATGCGACTGGCATGAATCGCCTTCAATCCGTCGGCTATGCAATTTGCATTACCCAAGAGTTAAAATAGTTATCTCACGAGCGCCGTGCTCTGAAAACCAATCTAGCGTTGATTTTAAAAGTTTTGTCCCATATTCTCGACCTGCTTTGTACGAATCCTTATTCTCTATTTTCTTATGATGTTCCGTATATCAAGCAAAGATCTCCTTTTGTAATTCTACATTCATTTTAGGTACACATACTTAGCTTAATTTTGAATCGGCTAAAAAACGCAGATAACACATCAATTAGAGTTTTAGAAAAATCTTGGTATTTAGTATTCATCCGATCATTCTGTATATTTTGAATATATTTCCCAGAAAAATCCAGGTTGAAGTTTAAACATTGTAAAATTTCCCGCTCTCTCTTTCGGTGGCGTGGCGTGCTTTGGGATTTATCGATTGTTATGTCATTTAAACCCGTGGTAAAGAATCGATTATTAAGGTATTCGCCGCGAACACCCTGTCTATCGATCCTTTTCCATAGGTTTAAATGGCATAACAATCGATGTATCGCAATTCACGCCACGCCACTGCTCTCTTTTCAATTTATCAATGAGTTACGACTGTTTCTAATTCGTGAAATTTCGCTTATTTTTCTTATGAATGCACATCATTTTCAATTCTGTCCAAGTGGAATTGAATTCCCATGACTCCAGGAATTCTTTAATTCGGGAATTATTTTGACCGTATCTTACCCAGGCACATACGTTTTTAAAGTTAACCATTTTTTTGGCTTCAATTGCTTAAGGGGTTTTTTTTTTAGTTAGTTAGTTAGTTAGTTAACGATTTTTTCGAATTTCCATAAATCCTTCTTTACTCATCGTTCGTGAAGCAGAACAGGTTGTAAATTAACAAATTAAAACGAATTCCAAAGCCCAAATGTTTATGATTCATCCGATCGCAAATTCGTTAAAATTTAAAGACAAGATAGAGAATTCCATACATACACATAAGTCGTCTTATAGCATTCCCTAAGGGAATTTTCCCGGCACTCTACGACCCGTAACCTCCACTTCCCACTGTCGAACCACAACCCTTCGGGCATCGGGTACCTGAACATTTCTGCTTCAATCCCATTCCTTTAAACTCTCATCGGAATAGGAAATGCCATTCACTAGAAAATTCTGAGTAAATACTGTTAGGGCTTATTGTCGCCTCAATTGCGAATAAATCACTAGATACTTTTCCGAGAAGCTTATAACAAGCGCATTTTCGTGCTACCACGGTGAGACGCGCGACACCGCGTCATCCTATTCTTTAGTATCCGCCGCGAGTATGCGATTTCTTGAAACGCCTTCAAACCGTTGGTTATGTAATTTGCATTACCCAAGAGTTAAAATAGTTATCTCACCGACGCCGTGCTCTCATAACCCATCTGTGTTGATTTTAAACGTCTTGTCTCATCTTCTCAACCCGAAATGTATGTTTTCTCATGTATTAACTCCTACTAATGTTCCGTAGATTAAGTAAAGGTCTAATTTTGTAATTTTACAGTCATTTAAGATGTATATACTTTATTTTGAATCGACCTGAGGACGCAGGAAACATGTTAATCAGAGTTTGAGAAGAATTCTGATGTGGGAAATTCGTTTTGGATATTTCGTAATATATCTCCTAGAAATAGAGCAATTGAGGGAACTTCACTAATATACTTTAAATCGTGCGTATAAAAAATAAGGGGTCGTTCATGAAATACGTAACGCTCTAGGAGGAGTCAAGAAAAGCGTTACGCCAACGCCATTTTGTTTTTACTTGTTTAAGGATTGGGACT